CTGCCTGATGAATATATATTTTGCCTAATCATCATTATTTTTATCAACCACAAGACGTAAACTGGTGAACATAGGCCTTACTCAATGCGTTCTAGGGCCTCGAATGAAATCCTTTGACTGTAGCCACAATGCGTTTTTCATGTTTAATGTCTTGATTGTATTTTTATTGTGTCTGCATGAGCTGATGACGTATAGGTTTCAACACGTCATACATTCGCTGTTCAAGTACTAAATAAGGTTTTAGAGGCTTATAATTTAACATACAAGGGAGATCGTTTGATGACTAGTTTGGAGTGTGATTGCACAAAGATAATTGTATTTCGTAATCATCATAATCCAAAATGTTTGTGACTAATGGAGTGATGTGGAGACATGAATTCAAATTTTGAACCTAAAGATCCTTTTCTATCGGCAGAAAATGAGAATGTTAAAAGAAACATGCTGATTTTGGACCAATATTTACCGATGCCACAACTCATTTAACTATCCTGCAGCTGTAGCCAAATGCCAGTTAGCGCTTGTCTACATGTAGAATAGAAAACCAAATTATATGGAATTGACGTAAATTTTGACAGTGTCAGTGTCATTTCCATACATTTAGTTTTCTACTCTCTCTGTAGACAAGCGCTAAAGTGGCGTTTGGCTAAAGGCCCTGATGTGACTATTTTTGTTAAGACATTTTGAACCTTATGTTACGACATTACAACACATAGAAAACTCTATTGAAGAATTCTTAGGGAGCATAGCTTAATATACTGGTATCTTCATAGGTATACATATTTCCTATAAATTGATTATGACTCATTTAGTTACAAGAAGTCCTACTGATACAAAGTGTCATTATTACTAAGAAAAACCAAATGACTGTATTTATACATACAATGTATTGTGTAGTAGGAATCTTAAAATGAACTGCAACGCTCCCATTGTCCATTGATGGGGCAACTGAATGTTTTTGTAGCGTAAGATAAGTAGACGAAAAAATACTTTAAGTGTGTGGAGCCATGCTTTGGCGCGAATGGGCCGGCTCGACCGGAGTGATTTTTTTAAGGAGGGAAAATCATCGAATGTCTTCTCCCGCCTGAGTGAGGATCATAACATGACCTTACAGAAAAACGGCATGTAACAACGCTTACAATGTGTTTCATCGTGCGAGTGAGGTTACCGGAGGCCCAATTACCTCCAATCCCCAAATCCTAACCCCCAAAAATTCGGCAACGCACTTGTAATGCCTTTGGTGTTTAGGGTGTCTATGGGCGGCGCCGTTTGTATAAGCCGGGCATAAGCCCATAAACACATCAAGATCTTTTTGATGATCTGTTCTTTCAGGTAGCCAATTGTAATAGCTATAGAGCAGAATTATTTTAAACCTTTAATGCTCTAAAGAAAGCAGTGTCCTACATGGCCATTTTACTTTCTTGAATTCTAGAGCAAAACGGTATTCCGGTGAATGGTAAATAAATACAGTGCAGTACGCTATGTTGCACATTATAAACGTGAACTATTCTAGGTCTAAGTTATCTCGGGCATTTCAAATACTTTAATAACTTTAATCGTGCCATTTCACGCAATATTTTCTGTAGATATGTCCAATTACTATCATCATTTTTAGAATATTCGATACCGAAAATTTGTTGAATGCTATTCGTGACCGAAAAAGCCATTTTTCTCGCCTTAGGGGAGGCGAAAAGAAGTGTCAGCCTCTTAATAACTGAAAACCACCTCGTTCCACTCCAGCTTTGAGCCGGAGCCCCGGTAACCCTTGCGGTTGTACGCAACCCCGGGACCCAAGGACCCAAACTCGGCAATCACGCTTGTAAGCACTTAAACCACAAATAAAATAATAAAGTAAATGACAATAACATAAAGTGTTGTAAGGTTTTGTTTGGACATAAGAAACAATGTCGCAAGAATGCACGCTAGAATAAATTAAGTCGCAAGGACTGATCCCGCCGCGATACATAATTTCGTTTACTTTTTGCGGTGAAAATTGGTGTCGGTCTTGAATACTAATTTTTACTAGTTTATAGGCTGATTGGATACAAGAGAAAACAAGGATGTTAGAAGAACCTAGGACCATTTTCCGTTGTCAGATATGAGTAATGAAATAAAGAACGTTAGATTTATAAGCTAAACAAAACTTTTAGAAGAACGCTGTCCATCATTCATATACAAGATAGGCCAGTTAGCTCAGGTGACAAAGGTAGACTGAGAAAAAGACCATCGAACTGTATATTCGCCAATGAATATCCTGATCCCTGTGCTTGTTTGATAATGGGTTTGAGATCGGAGTATAAAAGGTGCAGGTTTATCAGAGAGCGCTACTGCCCAGCCTCTGTCGATGTGTCCTCAGTCGCGAAAGAGTAGGGCCCGTATTAATAAACCGATATCAGCGTAAGAGTGAGATGTTAAAATCCTGTTTGATATTCCGACATATTAATAAACAAAACTTAATACGGTTTAAGACCTTGTCATCACCTGAGATCGTATTGTTTAATAAACATTACTCGGGTATCGAACATTTTAAACATTTCAATATAAATATCAAATATCAAGGTCAATATAAATATGGATAAACAAAGAAATCAAATATACCAGATCCAAGCTCAGACTAACTAAGAAGATTGGAAAAAGAAGGTCTTATTATGCTTTCAAAGAGCAAAAGAGATTCTTTATTGTTTGCGAAAAGTTTCACCTCATTCGCAAAAAAATCGAATTAGTTATCAGTTGACATGATTATAACAAAACGTGGGTATATCGATTAGTTAACGGTGTTATCGATAACTCATAGCGAGATAGGACGCGACACTAATTGAAATGAAGTACGGATAATACCGGTAACTGGGACTCGTCAGTTGTAAAATCGAAAGTGACGTTATCAACCTGTCTTTCATAAAGTCACGTCACAATGCCAAAGGATAACATATTGTGCTATATTGACCATGTTATCAGGCTTTATAGTTATAACAGGACACATTGGAAACAAATCCCGAACGCCTATTGCGAAGACAATTTGGATAATGGTAATCATTTTTGAATAGGAAATTCTAATTTATCCCTCTCAAAATCAGCATTATTGTTGGTGTACTCGATTACTAAACTACATTAAGCCTAAACAAAAAGTTTTTCTTTTAAAGATATTTTTTGGTGTTGTGTATAACCAGCTTTACTAAAAAGGCGAGTGAAATAATCATAAACATATTTATGAGCTTATTAGTTGTTTTCGCATGACCGCTAGCGACTAAATTATGGAAACATCAGTGTTTTATTTATACTGTTTTTACGCTCAAGAAAAATTACGTGCGATTTTCTTTGTTTCAATGAACGACACGTTTCCATTATTACGTTTATAAACTGTTATAATTACCGCGAATATTTCGAACGTGAATTTTAAATGTACGAAGTATGTTTTTACCTTTTTCGGAGTCATGGTTATGTTGATTTTTTTCTTCATTCTTTCATTAACGTGTTTCGAATTATTATCACTAAAACCTCATTATAGGTCTCACACAATGACGCACGATATCCACACATGCATTACACTACCGCATCCTTCCAAGGCTTAACAGAGACTGCCTTTGCAACTTGTCTCTAAAAGAACACTGCTCTAAAAAGGCGGGAATTCCTCGCCAATATATTTTGAACTCTGATGTACAAGGAGTATTGCAATTCACTGGGGCCGCAAATAAAATGGTCGCATCAATTTTATCAGTTATTTTTTAAATCCGTTATAAAGTTGTAATCTTAGTGTGGCTCGCTATCAGTAGCTGTTAATGACCAAGTGATTTCTCTTTGTTTACTTTCTACGATAGCGAGCTTAGATGTAGAAAAGGTCAAATAATGAGCCGCTGTCTTTTGTCATACGAATAAAAGATAATTTTTGCTCAAATTGAAATTAATTAGAAGATGAGATAGAAAAATATTTTTATAAAGAAATTACATTTTTTCCACTTCAATACAGACGCGCTGAGCATTTTATTTTGTGTTCTCTTGACCGTCACAATTTACACAAGTATATCGTGTGTATTTTATATTCAGCACTTAATATTTTCAACCATTTTCTTTTTTAAATAAGTTCCAAAGTTGATCTACTACTTAACAGGTATTATTTATAACTCTAAGATAAGACATATGTACTTCCTTATTCTAAATTAATCACTTAATTTCACTATATATAGCGTAATGATTTATATTTTAATACTCGAGTCTTAATTTCGATAATCCCGTGTTTAAAAATAATCCTCACAGGCGTCTTTTAATATCGTCTTTTTTGATAACCGTAAATATGGTTTTATGTTTAATAAAAACTGGTAAGTCGTTCTCATATTGGAACAATATACAGTAAAGTATACTGCGTAGAATAAAGTATTTAATTTTTTATCGACAACACTTCTCTAGAACGGCATTGCAATGATATGAAGTTGATTGTCTTTAGAATAGTAGCTTTATGGTATGTTCTTAATAAACTATAAAGGCTAATTTTTAAACAATTTAAAAGTTACCCTTTATAGTATTATTTGTGTGAATACAATTTTTATTTAACAGTATAAACTGTTTGAACAGTATTGACTGTTGTGTATTAACACAAAATCATATTGGTAATTAAAAATGTAGGTAGTTTTAAAATGACTTGCACTCTGCAAAAAACTGTAGATCTGGAAATTGGATGTTACACATTCTGATAATTCAAAATGTGGCAAGTTTAGAGAAAATCAAAGAGTTTACTCTCACTCTCTTATCAGAAGAAATAAGTCAATATACTATATGTTTACTATTAAACTAAAGATACTGCTTATTTATTATTGCACTTACGAGTATCAATAAATAAATCAAACTACAGACAAAACATTACAAATAACATGATGCTGATTAAGACACAATAAACAAAAAACAAACTACAAATAAAAATATTGCATATAACCAACAAAATGGGTGCACAAAATACGGACAGTGCACGGAAATAATAAAAGTGCTAACTACGTAAATGATGTTGATCTTACTAAATTTTGGCTATCGTAAGACTCCTCCTGAGGGACAGTTATGTCTATGAGGGGGGCTCTGTCTCCTGTGTTGTCCGCCCTCTCCTCCGTCCTCCGTTCGGAACGGACACGGCACGCGTCACATCTCTTCATCTCTACACATACTTCTCAACTGTGGACTGTCAATAAAGTCCTTCAGTATTAAACTTTAACCATCAAGCTTTTTAATTCTTCAATTTTCTTATTAGACACAAACATTTTTGTAACACTTAATAGCACCTATATTATAGTATGTTGTCTATTATGCCAATTTTTTCACATCATATTTAAAAAGGAAACTGCAAATAAAACTATAAAATATTTTTCTGGTGGTAGTTGTGAACTAGAAGAGATAGGAGAGTAGTAAACAAATTAAATACCTCATTATCACTATCAATAAGAGAGGTCTCCTCCATGACATCAAAACATTAAAAATAAACTAAACTACACAACTTTGTGTGAATAAATACTAAAACTGCTCAATTCATAACAGTGTCCAGCCATCTGTACTGACGGCATGATCACGTATTAACAACTGTGAACATTATTGGATGAAAAGATTATCTATAAATCAGGCATAAAGAAAATATCATTGTATGCAAATCAAACGTTCGACCATTAGCGAAAAGAATGACGGTAACACTCATTTACAACGAACGCATACTCGAGAGCATGTGACCTGAACCACTACATCTAAATACCAATACAAAATAATTAAAAATCTTGCCACTTACTACTGTTATTTGGCTTCTGTGGTATGCAAACGTATTCCATAGAATTTAGACACCGAATCAAATAAAAACCTCCATTGTCCAAACAGTGTCACTGAACACTTTAAATAATAATCTTAATTACGTGAAAGATACAAGTTAAACGTTAAAATTAACTAAAAAACGAACAATAACCCCAATGTGCTTTGCTTACTTTTGACAAATTTGACATTTATTCTAAACATAGACTAATAAGAAAGTTTTTTCTATTTACGTCAACATTTGGATAATGACTTTATTGGTCAATATGCCTTTTTGATCTCACACTTTCGTTCGAAAACAGGAAATCATTTCAGAATAGCTGGCAACATTAATTAAAAAAAAGTTCTACACGTCATCTCGGTGTGTTGGCTGTCAGATTTGCAGATTACAATTAATTGATGAAAACTGAAAATTAATACACTAAATCAAAATGGTAATACTTGTTACAGTGCTTGTGATATAAAATAAATCTACTCTAGTGTTTTTATTGATATAAATAGTGCAAGAGCTATGTGATTTTACTGTAAAAGTATTCGTAAGTTCATCCGGCTTATGTTTATAGTTTTCAGTGGTGTTTTTTTGTAATTGCAGGTGCTTATAGCGGCTACAGTATGTACGAAGTCAGGAAAAGGTAATTAACTTTATATTTGACCAACGAAATATACAATAAATACGTGAAACTTATAAGAAAAGTGTATAAAATATTAACGTAATTTTCAGCATTGGTGTCACGTCAATTCGTGGAGATGACGAAGGCACGTATCGAAGGATTGCTGGCTGCCTTCCCCAAGCTCATGACTGGAGGTAGACAGCACACTTTCGTGGAAACTGAGTCTGTCAGGTAAAGATAAACTTTAATTTTTGTGTTCTATTCTTATAATGTAATGTTCTATAAAGGTATGAAATCATCGCCTTGTTTTTTTAGACATAATATATACATAACATCACGCCTTTTATCCCCGTAGGGGTAGGCAGAGGTGTACATTATGCCACTACATGTAACCCACTTTTCATTATGTATGTTATGAGTCCCATGTAATAGGGGGAGAGCCTATTGCCATATACCAGGCACTATTCCAGACTCCATGCTGCTACTGATAATTTTTTTAAAACCCAGTAATACTTTGCCTGACCCGACTACTAATGACGGCCAACAAGGCAGTCATAAGTAAGATTCAGTCTTATTGGTTGATATAATATTAATTTGTAGTTGTATATACTTTGTGACTTGTAAGACAATAAATGTTTCTAATAAGAAATAGTACAATTACCAATAAACATAATTTGAAACATCATTGCTCCATTCATCCTAAACAATTACTTCAAATGAAGTATAAGATATAATATTTTATGAAAATAAATGGATTAAATTAGTGTATATATTACAGGTATGTGTACCAACCACTGGACAAGCTGTACATGCTGCTCATCACCACTAAAGCCAGTAATATCCTCGAGGATTTGGAGACTTTGCGCTTGTTCAGTAGAGTGGTGAGTACAATAATTTTTTTTTTTCTTATTCTTAGAAGATGATCATATGGATAATTCTAATAGGGATTACTTCAAAGTCAAAACAAAGTCAAAGCATTTATTTCAATAAAATTAATTCTTCATTAGGCACTTTTGAAATGTCAAAAATTAAATTGTCCGTCGGTTTGTCTGTCAGTGATTCTTTCTATTCCTGGTTTGTATGAAAATGTGCCTGAATTGTTAGTTATTAATTTAATTGTAAATGAATTTGAGAATACGTATGTAGGTCCAAATTAAAGTCTTTTTCTTTTATCTACATTACTGAACCTATGCACTTCTTCATACTTCCAAGTTTCAAGGAAATCATCCATATTGAAAATGCTTTATGTGGCAAGAACCTCATACGTAATATGTATATTTATGTATGATTTATAATATTAGGTATATTTGGTACATTAACTCGTTGAAAATAATCCCCTAAATTTGTACATACAAAAGTAGTCTCTAAACATTGGAAATAAGGTCTATAATGTAGTTAGTAGAGAGTGATCACCGGTGACTGCTTGGGGATCTATAGGTTAAAGTATAGTAATAGTACAGTACAGTACAGATAGTACATTTAAAATCAATCAGTTACCTAATTTTATAATAAATAAATATAAATAACTTTATTACATACCAGCTGTTGCCCGCTACTTCATCTGCATAGAATATGAATTTTAAAATATTATTTTTTTGTTTCAATTTTGGTATTTGTTTCATACTACGTTACACCTTAGTACATCAGCTACCTGCCAATAAAAGTCTTGCAAAATCGGTCCAGCCATTCTGGAAATTAGCCAGTACATATAGACAGACAAATAAATTTTTTAAAAAAGTTGTTTGGGTATGTGTATCATTATGTATTTTCATATGCATGTATGTAGTAAAAAGCGGTTGTATTATAAACAGACACTCCAATTTTATATATCTCTATAGATAACAGATATTTCAGTAAAAAATTAACTCACTGTCTGGCCATGTTTGTTAATATTCTCTAATATCAACATTAAACACAGGTTCCAGAATACTGCACTCAGCTGACAGAGGCTGAGGTACTGAACCAGGCGTTCAACCTGCTGTTTGCATTCGACGAGATTGTGGCCCTCGGCTACAGGGAGAGTGTCAACTTGGCACAGGTTTGTTCAAAATAATAATATTTTTTACATATGTTTCTAGTTTACATAGTTTTGGTGCATTATACCTGGTGAAATTGTGCATTATGCCAAATACTTGATATTTTCTTTCTCTCTTTCTTTTTAATTACATATTGGTTCTTGTTAACGTTTTTCTTGTAAAAAACTATTAATCTTTTCTTTTTTTATGGGATAAGCCCGTAAACAAGCAGACGGCTCACTTAGTGGTAATGTTGGCTTTACAAGTGCGGCCGGCCTATTAAATTTTGGGAATTTGAGGATTGTGGGGATTAGGGAGACAGGGGAAAGGGGGGTAATTGAGCCTCCGGTTGCCTCACTCGCACGACGAAATACAACGCAAGGGTTGTTTCACGTCGGTTTTCTTTGAGGCCGTGGTATCGTTCTGGTCGAGCCGTCCCATTCATGGCTCTCCCACACTTAAATCCGTTATCCATATCACATTTAAACAATTCAAAATTTAGTATATTGGTAAAAAATCTTATGTCTGTTATATTAATATGTTCTGCAATCAGGTGCGGTCGTTTGTGGAGATGGACTCCCATGAAGAGAAGATTTACCAAGCTGTGCGTCAGGTAAGTTCAACCGCCATATTTTTTAAATTAAACATTAAGTAATTAATTCGTGATTACGAGCATTTTTACATCGCTTTACTCAAATCACTGTGTAAAGCGCCAGTACACGTTCAGCACTCATATACATCAGTATTCACCACATCAACCTAGATGGCATTAGTTATTTAATAGCGAAGTATATAATAAACGGATATTCTGTGACTATCAGTGATTTCTTACTATCTAAATCTCAAGTTGTGTGCGCCACACTCAGCGCATACACCAATGTTAATAATAATTATTCATGTTCAAAAGATTCTTATAAGTTTATCAGACCATATCAAAGGTGCTGTGTGCTTTAATCGACTTAAAGTATAAGAAGTATGTGAGTCTAATCAGCCAGTGTATTTTCTCCGTATAGACCCAAGAGCGCGAGGCCGCCAACCGTATGCGTGAGCGTGCCAAAGAGTTGCAGCGAGAGAGGTTGGAGGCAGCCAAAAGGGGCGTGCCCACACGCAGTCAGATGTCCTTCGGTAAGTTATACCTCTTTGTAATTTAAATCTTGAATCCGATTAAATTGTTGCCCATGTCTCCGTGGTGACGTCATTTACATCTAACGGCTGAATCTAATAATCGACCATAATCCAAACCCAGCGGGACGATATAAGTTTTTGAAACCCAGAAAGTCCATACAAGTAATGTCAAAAATCCATTTTGAACCAAGGAATTTGGTTTAAGGTAATTTCAGCCGTAAAGCAAGGTCACCGTGTGTCATTGACCTGTTTAATAGTGTGGTTGAATGTATGGAACAGACAAGAGATACAAGTAACTACAGCTTTCTACCGAACCAGCTATAAAATGTTAATGTAACATAACATCACGCCTTTTATTCCTGAAGGAGTAGGCAGAGGTGCACATCACGACACTTAATGTTACTGGTCACTGTACAATGTAACACCCGCTTTTCATTATTTATGTTATGAGTCCCATGTTATAGAGGGTGAGCCTATTGCCATATACCGGGCACAATTCCAGAATCCCTGCTACTACTGAGATTTTATTGTAAAAAGCCCATTAGTACTTTGTCCGACCCGGGAATCCAACTCGAGACCCCTTGCCGGCAGCGCATTTGCGACCACTCGGCCAAGAAGCCAGTAGTAAGTAGCAGACAGTATAAAAATATTCATATTATTTGTTATCACAGGAAGCAGTTACAGCAGCTCCAACATGTCGTCGTCTGCGTCCGCTGAGCCTATAGCTGAGAAGATTCCTACTACGCCTGCGCGCGAAACGTAAGTTGTTATTGTCTATTTATAAATCGCATCACAATTTCTCGTGCTGTTTTAAAGCGGACAGTGACTTTTTATGGGATAAACCAAGAAACGAGCAGACGGAACACCTGTTAGCAATCGGACCCTCGAGACACCAGAGGCGGTACAAGTGCGTTGCCTGCCTTTTGGGGGTTCAGGAACTGATGATGATTATACGTCAGACGGTATATTTTTTTTAAAAAAAAAAAAACGTTGCCCCACACTATATCTTGTAGCAGGGATGTGCAAACCATTGATAGCACCCACAACACAATATTTTGAGCACATCATTGATGACAAAATTTGTCCTATATCGATATTTTTTACGGATATGAATAGATATGAGTTCAGCATGAATTCTGTTTAACAAACTACTAAAAATAATTAATTATTATTTTTATGGTACACACGGCTACACATCGAGCTTTACATAACCAATATAAACTGAACGTTAAATGTGCGGAAAGATGATGCGACGCGACGCCAGGATAAACTGGTTTTTTATATATTGATGTGTGGCCGTGTGTAATACTCAAAAACAAATTCTTTAGAAAAACGGCACGTTGTTACGTACAGGTTCGCCATCTCTGCCTTATAGTATAGTATGTACATACATAACTTCACGCCTGTCTCCCTTGGGGTAGGCAGAGATTATGGAACGACAATTGTTACGATTCTTACATACCTCTTTCGCTTCATCAACAGTCATCAATCTTTTCATGCATGCTCGTGGGTTAAGAAAGGATGAATGAAAGAAATATACAGAGCGGACATGAATGGGGCTGTCGGTAGAGGGCACCCTAGACGGACATATGTATATTAACGTTATAGTACAGTATTATGTATATATTTGCAGTAGCCGGCCGGCGGGTCGGTCGGCCATGAAGCTGGGGTCGCGCGGCACGGACACGGAGTCGTTCGTGTCGCGCCTGCGCAGTGAGGGCGACGCCGTGTCCGCGGCCGCCGCGCCCTCCGCCAAGACGGACGTCGCTAAACCACCGCCGCCTGATCATAAAGAGTAAGTTTTTCACTCATTGTTTATATCATAACTATCATGAGACACACTAAATTAATTATTATGTTATAAACTCGACAAGTGTATGAGCCCCTAGTATGACTTGAAACTAGTTGAGGACTTCCTCGAACAGTTCCGTGAACAATTAGGTCACTAAACAACGAAAAAAAAACGGGGGTTAGTACGACTTTGTTTAAACGAAACGGAACTGACGCTTTGATTGGTTCGTTGGAGCCGGCCAATCACAGGATCGAACGCGGGCATCTTCACAAACTTGCGCATTTATTATTATAAATCTAAATAACATACATAAATAACTAAGGACCGATTTTTCAACTGACATTTGACCGTTATTAGTACGGAAGAATTGTCAAATATTCAAAGTTATTCCTCAGTTAAAATTTATCTGGCATTGGAAAAAACAGCAATAGGTAGGAAGTAACGAACCCTGTTCCCCATTGTTCCAGTGTTCACTTACGGTTTGAGGAGCGTCTCACCCTGGTGGCTGGCAGAGACGGTGACGTACAGAACTTTGAACTTAGCGGTGAGTGTTCTTGCACAGTGTTGCCATTGCAAAAAATAAAAACATGTTGGGTAAATTTTATCAACAATGATATTATTGTTTTATATTGTAATTTCTTGCGGTAATAAGTCAATGGGCAATGCGGGTTCGATATGTACCTGCTTTGTAGAAATATTTATGTAACCAAGATAAGAAGTAAGTTTAAAGGGACAGTATTGAAATGAAATGAAGTATTTGACATAAAATGTGTGTTGTCCGTCAGGTCTGCTGACGCTGCGCATCAGCAACGAGCAGTACGCGCGCATACACGTCCACGTCGACAACCAGGACCCGAGGCCGCTGCAGCTACAGGTATACTCATGATACTTCGACATTTCTTGAGATATTATTTACATGTTCTCATCCGGTGATTGAGAGGCTGACAACTCTAATTATTCTAACTCGATATAACTTAGAAATCGGCAATAGCAAAAGATTTTATTTTCCTCTTACTATACAAATGAATTTGTCACTGTTGACTATTTATTTTACACTAGCTTTTACCCGCGGCTTCGCTCGCGTCACAAAAGGATAAAAGTAGCCTATACCAATACACACAGTGCCATCTATACCAATTCTTTTGTTTTCCCTCGGGAATACCAAAATTTTCCGGGATAAAAACTACCCTATTATTTAATCTGGACTTCTAATTTTACGTCTGCAAAAATTCAAAGCAATCGGTTTAGAAGTTACGGCGTGAAACCGGAACAAACAAACAAACTCACTTTCCCATTTATAATAGTAAGGATTTTGAAGTGGTGCTATGTTCGCTAGGCTAGCTAATTATGTGTAAACACCAGCTTTTGCCCGCGGCTTTGTCCACGTTCCCGTGGGATAAAAAGCCTATGTGTCATTCGAGACCATAATCAATCCATGTTCCAATTTTTTTATTTTCTCACGGAAACGAATAGTTTCCAAGATATATTGATTTGAAAATCACATGACGTCACTTTTGGGTACGATTTATACTCTAAAATGACGTAGCTACCTCCCACTCCTAAACTTTGATTCGTTTTATCTATGTATTGTTTTCTTATACAACAAAATAAAAAAAATACATGTCTTATATTTCTTCATTACTTAACTGACGGACTAATTAGATTGTTAATTGGCATACCCTGCTATCATCCCTATTGAGTAGCCTTTTAGTATTCAGGCGTAACATTAAGATTTTGTTGGTAGACGCACCCTAACGTGGACAAGGAGGCATTCCGCGCCAACGGAGTGATCGGACTGAAGCAGTCGCAGCGCGCCTTCCCGCTGCACAGCGACGTCGGCGTCCTCAAGTGGAGGCTCAATGCTAACGACGACAAGCTCGCACCGCTCTCCGGTAAGTTATACTGGCTAGGTGGTGCCCTGTGCGTGTTCTACCGCTTGTATAATGGGTTATGTTCTGCGGAATTATTTGATATGATGCCCACGGCCACTTTTTATCATCGCACCGCTCGCCATCGACAGGGGGCTCACGCTCACTCATTGGAGCCAAAATGGTCCCGTACAGTTCGGTTTCAGAGGAATTTTCTCCCACGGACCCTCCGATTGTGGAATGAGCTCCCTGCTGTGGTCTTCCCAGTGGGCTACAATATGAGGTTCTTCAAGAGGGCAGTGAATAGGTTTTTTAAGGGTCGGCAAGACGCATGTAATGCCCCAAGTATTGCAGGCGTACATAGGCCACGGTAACCGCTTACCATCAGGTGGGCCGTGTGCTTTTTTGCCACCGTCGTGGTATAAAAAAAAAAGTGGGTTCCGGAACTGCGGGCAACTTAGAGCCAATTTTTCAATGATCAGATAAATTTTCACTGAGGAATAACTTTGAATTGAATATTTGAGTTTATGTACTGGGATACCTTTATATGTATGTACATTTATCAACCTCGTTTTTTTTTTCAATAGATGCAAACTTCTTAAAACCTACTGTAACACTTCTCTGCATCACCCTATGGTTGGCTGGTAGAGAATGCCATTCGGCATTAAGTCCGCCATTGTATACATTTGTACAAAAAGTGTTAAATAAATAAAAAAAAAATATTTGACAACTCTTCCACTGTCAAATGTCAATTTTATTCAACAGTTATTTGTTTACTGTTGAAAAATCGGCCCGAATCGAAAATCCGAATCGAATCGAAAAATGGGTTACCGCATACCGGAGCTCCGGTTCAAAGCAGGAGTAGGAACGGGGTGGTTTTTAGTCACTAAGAGTCTGATACTCCCTCTCGACTCACCCAAGGTGGGCGAAGTCATCACCTTTGCTTCAACGTAGGATTTATGGCATAGCGCGGCAACCTGATGGTAAGCAATCAGCGCTGCTCATGGACACACGTAACACTAGAGGAGTTGGTTATGAGTGCGTCGCTGACCTTTTTAGGGTTGGAGATTTGAGGATTGGGGATTAGGGAAGGGAGCAATTGGACTTCTGGTGTTAACCTCACTCACACGGCGAATCACAAGTCGAGCGTTGTTTAACACAGTTTTTCTGTGTGGCCATAGTGAAATTTAAGTATTTTGTTTTGCAATTTACAGCTCGATTTTGGATAGCATGGTGATAAAGTATATTTTCAATGTAGTGAAATGTACATGTTACACAGTTATAGGTACTTATTAAAAGCAACGACATAGCTCTGTAGTTAAGAAAAAATCGACCACGTCAAGTTTTTACTAAAATGTTCATTTGAAACTTGTGTTTGCAGTGAACTGCTGGCCGTCAGAGGGCGCTGGCGGCGGCTGTGACGTCAACATCGAGTACGAACTGGAACACGACCATCTCACACTCAGCGACGTCAATATACATATCCCACTACCGTATGTACATACTTATTTATTTCTTTTAATATTCTATTATCATCACACGTCTTTTATCCCCGAAGGGGTAGGCAGAGGTACACATTTAGGCATTTAATGCCACTGTACAATGTAACACCCACTTTTCACTATTTATGTTATGAGTCCCATGTAATAGGGAGTGAACCTATTGCCGTATACTGGACACAATTCCAGCCTCCGTGCTACTACTGAATTTTTTTTTTTAATTCAGTAATATTTTGCCCGACTCACGAATCGAATGCAAATCGCAATTGCTACCAGTCGCGCAACGAGGCAGTCATGCATTATATCTATAGTAATAAATCTGAATAATGTATTTTCTTTGTACTGCTGATCTCCAGTAGTGCTGATTCGAATTGACAGACTGCACGGTTGGTGCGGTGGCTGGGCAACCGGCAGCCGTGCAACGTGTCGCGGGTTCGATTCCCACACGGAACAACACTTTGTGTGATCCACAAATTGCTGTTTCGGGTCTGAGTGTCATTGTGTATGTGAACTTGTACGTTTATAAACGCACCCACGACACAGGAGAAAATCCTAATGTGGGACAACGTTTTTATACGGAAGAATTAAAAAAATAATGTTGTGTAATTTACATTGAAATTGTATGCATTCAGACAGACCAAAGTGTATTTTTTTGATCAATGCATGTACAATGTCCACAGTTCTGGCAACACATCAGTGATAGTCCACCAGTGGGAAGGTAGCTACGCGCAGAAGGGACGCACTCTTACCTGGAGCATACCCATCATCAACAAACAACAGAAATCGGGCAGCCTCGAGTTCACGTAAGGAATATAAACATTTTTATGGCATAGGGCATAGACAGCATGATAACCATGCAGTCAATTCCATCAAGAATCTATTCACAAGAATATACATTCATCAGCATTAAATCACGAAAGACAAGTTAAAGTTAGAATTTTGTTAAGAACTCGGTTACAGTCATAACACAACATCACGCCTTTTTATCGCCGAAGGGGTAGGCAGAGGTGCACATTTCGGCACTTAATGCCACTGTACAATGTAACACCCACTTTTCACTATTTATGTTGTGATTCTCATGTAATAGGGGGTGAGCCTATTGCCATATACCGAGCCCATTTCCAGACTACGTGCTACTAGTGAGATTTTAAAAACCCAGTAATTGTTTGCCAGACTCGGGAATCGAACCCAAGACCCCTTGCCCGGCAGTCGCACTTGCGACCACTCGGCCAACGAGGCAGTCAATATTATTCGTACGTGTTGTATATTTAAACACGTTTTGTATCTAAACGGTTTTGTTAAGGTTGAATAGTTTTTGTTTGTTAATTGACATGTTATGTTTTACTTTAAATTACAATTAAATATGAAAAATTATAAAAAACAAAAAAAAAATTGAAACTGATACTCGGCTGGCTGTATGCGATTTTCTGTGGCCCTGTTTGTTTGTCTGTTTATGTTAAATAATAGGGTAGTTTCCAAAATTTTATTTAAATGTCCGTCTGGTACATTATTTTAAAACTTTATACACGTATTTTTTCTTTTCTCACAAAATTAAATTCTTTCGACGATATATTAATTTGAAATATCGTGTGACGTCACAGCGTGCCACATTTTGTAGCACGTTATGACGTAACAACCTCCCACTCCTAAACTTAGTGCCATTTTATCTTAGTATTGCAACTAAATACGAGAAAATAAAAAAATACGTGTCTAATATTTTTTCATTATCTAACCGACGGACTAATTAGATTTTTAATTTTCATACCCTGGAAACTACCCAATTGGAATTTTACGGCTTTCCCCTTTTGCTCCTTTCCTGGCGACAGATCGATTTGATATTCGGTACACACTCTTAATCTTGATGACTAATATCCTCCATGATGGATATCAAACGTAAAGGTTTCACTGGTAGAATAAAGCTTCATGAGCTCATTAAAACCGTTTAACATAAAAAATATGTTTATGTATTTATTGTTGTTTCTCATTATCTTATGGTTATTGTGTAGGGTGACGCCAGCGATACCAAATGACTTCTTCCCTCTGACGGTGACCTGGACATCGGACACGTCCCTCGCTCTCCTGAAGGCCACGAAGGTGACATTCGCTGAGGACAGTACACCCGTCGACTACTCCCAAGAAATCAGCTTCCATCCCGACAAGTATGAGATCGTTTAATTCCAACTTAACTAAGTCTTAGTGTGTGCTAAAATGACTAGAATTTTTGTGGTGACTTGGTTTAAAAATATTGTTTTGCAGGTCAAAAATATACATAATTATGTATCTTTTATGGTATATGTTACTAGTGTCACCTGGAGTTTATCTATTTATATCTATACTTATTATTTTAATATAAAAAACTGAAGAGTTCGTTTGAACGCACTAATCTCCGGATTTACTGGTCCGAATTTGGTAATTATTATTGTGTTGCATAACATAACAACATCACCCCTTTTATCCTCGAATGGGTAGGCAGAGGTGCACATTATGCCACTGTACAATTTAACACCCACTGTTCACTATTTATGTTATAAATCCCATGTAATTGGGGGTGAGCCTATTACCATATACTGGGCAATTGTGTTGCTTATTCCATTTTTTGATAAAAACATCGTGTTACAGTCAATAGGAGCCGTGCAGTTATAATATACTAGCTTCTGCCCGCGACTTCATACGCGTAATCCCATTTTTCCCCGTCCCCGTTCGTGAATTTCGGTAAAAAGTAAAAAAAAAAAATTTGGTCAATAAGCATCCTATATCGGTCTCCTGGTTCTAAGCTACCTCCCTACCAATTTTCAGCCAAATCTATTCTGCTGTTCTTGAGTTATAAATGGTGTAACTAACACGACTTTCTTTTATATATATATATAGATATAGATTCGTTCATGTGATACAATGCTAGGTCACCACAGATTTTCAGTCATTGTCAAAGTACTATTGTAGTAGTCAGTTTATATTGTAAGGGAGACATTTTCCACCTTCAGTCAAATAACACACTTAACAAATGATGTATAAAGCTCATTTTCCATTGACACTCCCTTAAATATGAACGGACTTAAATAAGGTTATATTATTTTAGTGTTATTGAAAAAAATATTATTGATTTATTGAAATACATAAAATAAATAGTGTTACTAGGTAATCTTGTTAAATTGATAAGTTTTATTTTACATTTACTTGTGTTTTTCGTTTCTAACATTCCTGACTGTGGATGCCTTTTATAAAATAAACACCAAATCCCATTTTAGTTATAAAAACTATACTCTTTCATAGCACGAGTTACGAATCGTGTATGAACGAAGAAAATTCGTTTTTATAACTAAAGTGGAGTTTTAAAATATATTCAAAACAAATATTTATGTATGAAATTGGCATTTTAAATTGGTAAAATGTATTGCTATTAAAAATAAAGTGTTTTCATCATATTTCTGAATGAGGCGAACCGATGTGGTTTAAAATATGTACTGTATAAACATTGTATGCAATAAAAACTATATAAAAATCATATAAAGATGTTATTTTATTTTGTTTGACATGTTGAAATACTGGGGGTTTTTTATTTGGAGTTATATGCTCGCGTTTGTTTGTGGGAATCACATATTGGATTCTTTGAACTTCATGAGACCGATTGAGAGGAATTCTGATGTTCTTAATTTAAATGAGTCTTGTTAGTGTCCTTTTTAATCTATGTCTATTTGTGTGACGGTAGAGATGTTTATGTTTCACGTTTATATTTTATTTACTCTTGTCTTTATTTCGGTGTGTGGTAATAAAACCATACTGCAGTGTGAGTTACATTTTTTCTTGATTTAAGTGCTGTAAGATTACTATAAAACATTGAGTGCTTTTTTGTGATTACTGGGTGAAATAGTTTAATATTGGTAAACACTTGTTTCTACTACGGAAAGGAGTGCGTGGCACCTCGAATGTAGAGGACTGCCCGACTTTTTTTCTTTAATATTTAAATATAATTTTGTTTTGACGTTCAAAAGTGCCTTCTTGGTCTAATTCAAATAGGTAAATGATTTTGACAAACGGTGAAGGAAAACATCGGGAGGAAACCTAAACTTATAATTTGTAATTATAAGTTTATAATCGCCAACCCGCATTGAGCAAGCGCGGTGATTAATGCTCAAACTTTCTCCGTGTGAGAGGTGGCTTTTCTCAGCAGTGGGCATTTATAGGCTGTTGATGATGACACTAAGGGACAAATGTCCCAAGATATCAAGATATGTATCGGCAACATGTCAAGCGAAGCCGGCCGATGTCGCCTGACATATTAAAATGCGACAACGCGCGACTTATGTCTACAGCGACGTTGATGTTGCCAGACATGTCGACCAATGTCCGGCAACGTCGCGCTACTTCACCCAACGTCGCTGGCAACACGTGTCGCAAGACATTTGTCCCCTAATATATTCTTGGCTTTATATATTTACTAGCGGACCCAACAGACGTTGTCCTGCATATCCACTTGAATGTTTAAACAAAGTTATAATCATCAGATTACGACCAATAGAGGTTGAGGAGTCAGTTCTTCATTAAAACTGAAGAGTTAGTTTATTTGAATTCTTTAATCTCTGGAACGACTGGTTCAATTTGAATAGTTGTTTTTGTGTTAGATAGTCCATTTATCGAGGTATGCACAGGTCATAAAACATCACGTTACGATCAATAGGAACAGTAGATCTCTAGATATAATAAAATCATAGTAAAGTCAAAACTGTACATTGAATATTTTTTTAAATAATACTTGGGGTGTGATCTACAGTTGATACGGAAGCCAAAAATAAGGTTTTTAGAATTTTTGGCTGTTTGTTTGTCTGTTTGTATGTCCGGGATGATCTCAAAAAGGACTGCATAGATTTGGATCAACAAATAGGCTACATATTATCACGCTATCACCTACGGGGTAAGAGCAGTAAATCACTATTCTACGCAAACGAAGTCGCGGACACAGCTAGTAGTAAATAAAATAAAATTGATCTGTGTAGTTACATAAAAAGCAATGCCGCTGTTTTAGATTTCGGATCATTAGATGACTATCAAGTGAATGCAACTGAGACGAGTGAGTCGAAGTACCCGTGGATAGCGCGCGTGATACACTCGCGGAGTTCGTACGTCCCGCACATGTGCACCGCGGCCTGCATCGACGAGGCCATCTTTGTTACTGCTGCTCGATGTATTTACAAGTATGTACCTACTCGTTTAAATAATTTTCATTTATTAAGTAAGTAGGTACTTTTAAAGATTCTGCCGTCAACTCTTTATTTTCTTTCGATTTCTTTTATCATAAACCTGCTCCTAAGTGTACCTAATAAACACTTTTCTGAAAACCACATTAAAATCGGTCCAGCCAATCGTGAGATAATTGCGGACAAACTTGCATACCTACATACAGGTCAAATTGAGAACCTACTTTTTTTAAGTCGTTTAAAAAATGCTGCCCACAATATTTGTAGGTATTAAGTAACATAGGTAGGTACCTAAAAATAAACCTACACGTCACCCAAACCCAGAACAATTTCACAGTTGGGGCCCAATAGGGCCGATGCCGATTCGGAGTCACGGAGAACCTAACGGGTAACCGGGGCTCTGGCTCGACGTGCAGGAGAAGGAACGGGGTGGTTTTTAGTCAGTAAGAGTCTGACACTCCTTCCCGCCTCACCCAGACGGGAGCAGTCATTCGATGATTTTCCCCCCATAAAAAAAAAACCCAGAACAATTTGTGAATAACACAGTGTTGGTTTGTGTGGGAATCCAATCCGTTACACGTTACGCAGCAGTTGGTTAGTTCCCCAGCCATTGACCATTCAGTACCTACATACTAGAAGTTTGCCACGCTAAGGCATGGCTAATTGGGCTTGCAAAGCCAGGAATCTGCTCCTCCAGCTATATGTAACTACTTAATCAAACTTAAAGGTCTTACATGATTATAATCAGGGCCGGATTTAGGGGGGGGCGACCGAAAGCCCCGGGGCCTCCACAAGCAGGGGGCCTCCACAATAGACTTCGGAAAAAAAAATCTTTCAAATTTCAACTAGTAAACCTAGTAAACATCTTTTCTTTGATACTTTTTTTCGCTTTTACCTTTACCTACAGCCTAAAGTACTTTATACATACATGATTATTTGATTATATTAATTTTAAATATTAACAGAAACAGAAATCATTGATCTATATTTTTGTTCACTCCAATCAGGCAATTAGTGAAATATCAAAATCTCAAATGGCTCTGATAAGCACTTCCAATTTACTACCCATCTTGAGGGAGTACCCCAATGGCTCAATGGCTCAGTGGGATGGTACTTGCCCGCAACCTCGGAGGTTGGCTATTCGATTCCGTGTCTCGACCATTAAAAAAATTAATTGCAGTATGTGAACAATTGGTATTCTTCAATTCTTAAACTCGAAATCTGTCGAGCGTCCTCGAAATCTATCGAGAGTCCTCGATCGTTTTCGAGCGTCCTCGAAATCTATCGGGCGTCCTCGAAATCTATCGAGAGTCCTCGATCGTTTTCGAGCGTCCTCAAAATCTATCGGGCGTCCTCGAAATCTATCGGGCGTCCTCGAAATCTATTGAGCGTCCTCGAAATCTATCGAGAGTTCTCGATCGTTTTCGAGCGTCCTCGATCGTTTTCGAGCGTCCTCGATTGTTTTCGAGCGTCCCCGATCGTTTTCGAGCGTCCCCGATCGTTTTCGAGCATCCTCGATTATTTTCGAGCGTCCTCGAAATCTATCGAGAGTCCTCGAAATCTATCGAGCGTCCTCGAAATCAATCGAGCGTCCTCGATCGTTTTCAAGCGTCCTCGAAATCAAGCGAGCGTCCTCGATCTCAATCTGGAAAATAATTTGGGGCAAGGGGGCCTTCACTCCTTTGTTACCCCTAAATCCGGCCCTGATTATAATGAATATTTTATTTCAGTTTAAAAGTAAACTACACGAGAATTCTATACAACTCGAAGTTCTACGACGCTTTGGCGTTCGTCGTGCCTTCGGTGCCAACGAAACAATCTTACGACGACATAGGTTTTATAGTGGTTCGCTCAAAGAACTCTAAAAAGTGGCCTGTGATCAAACCATTTAATGGAGCTAACAGAACTGATAAAGCGTTTGATTGGTTCAAAAAGTTAGAACATGCCTCGATGAAATACAAAATCGTTGGATATGCAATGAGAAAGGTAGGACAATGTATATCTACTTATAACTATATAAAGCAAACGAGTTTGTTTTAACGCCCTTCTCAGATTTCTGGAACTTCTACTTTGAATAAAATAATTATTTTTGCCGAATAGGTCATTTATCGAGATAAACCATCATAATAGGACTAAAAGCCCAGCAGGGGTGGAACTGCGCGGAAGGACCTAGTTAGTTTTATGTATAAATTGTTGTTCCAGGTCTATATGTAACATACTTATAATATATGTGTAATTTAAAGGTTATATGTGTAATTTGAAGGTGTGAAGGTAATATTGTTATAAGGAAGAGAAATATGTGTCGCAGGAAGCTGCTGGATGCAGGGTGTTTCCAAATAGGCGATCTACAAGGCGACAAGCGAGGCCTATGTTCATCGATTAGCCAAATTAAGTAATTCGGTATTGATGGTGAATAGTACTTTCGAGTAGTTAAGAGTTTTACCTGCAACATACAAGGTGTCCTTGAAGTCGGCGATCAAATGGCACCAGGTGATTAACAAGGTTCCAACAGTTTTCAGAAAAATAATAAAAAAAATCCAATTCAGATAGTTTTTAAATTACAATGACTTATATGTTATCCACGAAAAAGTACACCCTGTGCCAGTCTTGACTATCTGACTTGGATTTTTTTTTATATTTTTCTGATAACTGTTGGAACCTTGTTGATCACCTGGTGCCATTTGATCGTTGACTTCAGGGACACCCTGTATATTATGAATGCTAAATTAATTAATAATGCTAATTAATGGAGATATTTTTCGAAACCGATTTTCAGTAAATAAACCACATTTTTTAAATGAACTTGCAATTAAAACGAATAATTTTGTATTCTACAGTGGCTTCACAGAATCAGTGTGCCGGAGAGGCAGTATGACCTTTCAGAACTGGACGTCATCGTGAGTTTAGATATATGTACCAAATTACTGACAAATAATGGAAAGGATAAAATTTTCCGCGTCCCCTGCTATCACTCGTGTACCTTCCAGGAGTTTAAGAAGAAGAACAGCAAATGTCAGAAGTATCATGGGGTCGAAGGTGGCGCCCTCATTGACACAACGTCCAATAAATTAGTAGGGATTGCGACATGGACAATTTCCTACTCCAAATATGAAGTACCAGTTGGTTTTTCAGTTTTAAATTCAAAGAATTTTTTCGATGATTTCCGTTGTGCGAAACGGATACGAAATGACAATGGTTTGCTAATAGTGAAGGGATATTATCAAAGTCTGTGCTGATGACTGATTAAAATTGTTTTATTTTTATTATCCTTAGACAAATTCATGAATCTACACTTTGCAACAAACTAATAGCTTCCCTAGTGGTAAAACGTTGGCCCAACTAGTATAAAAAAAAAACTAGACTTCACTAGAGGACTGACCTATAGACTGATGCTTACAAAAGTTCCAAATCCAAATTTTTTGACTTGGGTACTATAGGTAGGTACTAACTTCTGAAAAGGTAGTTATAATAAAACAAATAAATAATAATCAAGCACTTATAATCCAATAATGTTTTGTACAGAATTATTCATATAAAATATTTTAAGTACAACCTAAGAATTATCTACATTAAAATTAAACTTAAATTCAGATTTTGTAAATGAAAATTTAAATTTCTTTGCACTATCTTCACTCACTTTTTTTGTAGTGGCAACATCAGGTTCAACTTTAGTATCGCTATCAGTTTTACAGCCACTAGTGTTGCCATTATCAGCAGCAATTTTGTCATTATCTAATTGATCAGGAGCTAAATTGAAGTTGAATCTAAATGACTCATTGCCTGTTGTCAAGAATGCAGATTTTCTCAAAAATGTAGCTTTTGGTTTGTCAGGAACATCTGATATCTTGATTTTACTGGCCACTGGAAACAAATAACCTCAATTTACAAGAGGTTAAGAGTAAAGGCTTTCATGTCATAACTTAGTCACGAGATTAATCTCCCTTTATGAAAGACTTCCTTCTTCTGAATTTTCCAATAAGTAAATATTATCATACAATAACTTACAATTCCACATCTTATTAGTAAAGAACCTTCCACAAATCAATTATAATATCAAAAGCCCGGTATTTAGATCTTGGGGCATATTATCAAGCTGGTTTATAAACACTTATTAGTTTTCTTTAGCGGAAAGCTATTTTATATATTACACATTTAATTTCAACTGACATTAATTATGCTCTTCTTGCATCAAATCATTATCTAGGACACTACTTTTATCTTACTTTTTGCTAATTTCTTCTCTTCAGCTGCCATTTTAGCTCTATAGTCTCCGAAATGTGTTCGCATTAGTTGTCTCTTGCGTATTGTGGGCTGGTTGTTGTTTTTTAGTACTGTTAAGACTTTCCATGCTTCTTGCACTGAAATAACAAAACATTTATAAACAATATTTTGAGGTTAATAACACAAATCAATAAGGGTAATATATTATATTGCATAATAATTTTAATGTGTTACTAATCATATTTTAATTGTGTCAGAAATTTTGTGTGCTGTAATTTACTGTTTTGGATCTGTCGCGTATATGTAGTGTGCTACTTATCAACAATGGTGAAATTAAGTAAATCATTATGTATGAAGTGATGAATAATGTATAACAAAGATATGCATCCCTAGTAAATATAGAAACTTACTTTGCTTCTCGTTGCCTTTCTTTTCGTTTAAAGATCGTTCTAACTGTTGAATACACCAGCACAATTCAAGCTGAAATTGACGCACAGATTCCTCTGGGTCGACTCCATCGGATGTGTCTTTTTCAACTTTACACGGTTTCTGGAGAGAGTTGGACTTTCCTTTGGAATGTAATTTAGTTGGTTTAGGCATATTAACTGTTAAAGATTACTTTTATTTCGATAAAACCACGTTTTGTTTTGTTTTGAACATTTGACGTGAATCTTATAATGCGATAGGACGTGACGTGACGTTTCTTATTAGATTTTTATTGAAGGTGCGGCGTCAATTGCGTTCGGAAATGTATTGTCTTAAAAATCAATAATTGATTGAGATTTGAGTGATTAATTGAATACTCGCAAAAGCATTTTCTGATATATGGGTATTATTGCCTTGTATTGTAATGAATACATAGAACGAAAATAACATTATTATTACCTGATGTAATAAAATTATGAAAGTTTATTTGAGATACATGCATATAACATATAACATAATTTATATAACTACATAAATATTTACAACTTAAAAAAATAAAATAAATAAAATAATAATTATAAAATTATTTTAATCAGGTTAGTGTAAAAGCATCCTAATCGCAATGTTGCCATTGCAATTGAAACTACTGTAGCGCCAACTTCCTATGACGTAACGTGAAAAATTGTGACACTAAAATTGTAACCTCAAATAATTTTACTGAAGTTTTCACGAGAATATATTATGCCGCTTGGAAAATTCGGGAAAATAACGATTTCGTGGTAATTACTTGAATAATCAATACCCTTTCTGTGTTTAATTATTACAGTTTAAAATTGTGGTGAGCCAAGTATATTTACCTATTTATTTCTTTTCTTTCCTATTTATCCCTCATCTGCATGAAATCCCTATGAAAGCCTTTCATGACGAAATATTTTCTCTGTGTTATGATTATAAAAGATATTTCGGGATCATCATCTGAATCTCAGCCAAAATGGTCTGCCTATTATCGACTAAAACCTGCCTGTTGAAAAATTAAAGGATAAATATTTTCGATCTTAATTCGGAGCATGCCTTGCAGGTTGGCAGTAACTGTAACAAGTTTATCGTTATTTGTGGTGGCGAAGAATTCAATAAATGCCCGCCGTCTGGAGAACATGAGAGCTAGGGAACGTATGCGCAAGTCTAACGAAGGAGAATATCCAGACTTGTACAGGCAGCTGTGAGTGTGAGTAACATAACAACATTTAATTCTCCCAGAAGGGTAGGCAGAAGTGTTCTTAAATTATATCCACATCCACATATCTTCCACACTGCTTTATTAGGGAAATCGTTGAAATTGCACTAGTATTTTTAGATATTATAAAGATACAATGTGATATTTTTAATTATAGTTTGTCAATAAAAATTTAATATTGCTGTTAGAAAGGCTCAAAAAATTGGCCTATGTATTATATCTGATTCATTAATATTATGTTAACTATGAACTACTAATAAGTTTGTTTGAAATCACATACTTTGGATGTTTGTCCGTCAATCATTCCGAAACTACTGAATGTACTACCGATTTGGTATACAGGCAGGGTATGGACTGACTTAGGTGATGGGATTTATCCCGATTAAATGCTCCCATGGGATTAAACAAGAATCATATTCTACATGCATGTAGTCACGGGCAACAGCTAGTGTTAAATATAATATTATTTTACAAGTTTTTTTATCCAAAAACGAACTAATTAAGTTTCAATATTAACTTTCAGGATTGATTGAAGTTATTTTAAGAGAGAAAAGAAACCAAGATGTCGTCACCAATGCTGGATCCCGCCAAGCTGCAGCTTGTACAGGAGTTGGAGATTGAGATGATGTCAGATATGTACAACCGACTGGTGACTGCGTGTCACCGCAAGTGTATTCCTGTTAAATACCAAGAGACTGAACTTTGTAAGACATATTTTTTAATTTACACAACATCACATATTACTCCTTAACTCGTTGAGTACCGTCATTATAGACACAATTAACTCGTTGAGTACCGTATTTATAGACACAATTAAAGAACAATAGGTTGCGGTCACCGGTGACCACTTGGTGTTTGACAGTTTAATGAGTTTCTGAAGCCAAAATTGGATCAAGAATGATTTAATAAAAAAGAAACTTGAAATTTTGCTATAATTATGAAATAGAGTCCGACTTTGTTGAGTTGGCTAGTCTTTGATATTAGTCTATTTTGATTGATTATTTAGCAGACCTAATAGAATTGCCTTAACTGTTTGATGGCATATCCATAGACCACCCATCAAGACTACAGTTTGACAATTGATCTATTTAAGATCGCAGAGAGTGTTGATGGCAACATCCGATCAGCTGATTACATAATGATCGGGAAGTCCTTGTGCCAATATGACGATTTAAGTGTAGGAGAGCTATGCTTCGGCACGAATAGGCCGGTTCTGCCAGAGTGATACCAAGGCTCCCAGAAAACCGACGTTAAACAACACTTGGGTTGTGAGTTAGGTTCGTGGAGGGCCAATTACCGCCCTCCTAATCTCCGAATCCACAACAATCCTCAAATTCCTAATCTCTAAAAGGCACCAACGCATTTGTAACACCTCCGGTGTTCGGGTATTCATGGGTGGCGCCAATTGTTTATCATCAGGTGATCCGTCTGCTCGTTTACCGGTTTATTCCATAAAATAATGAAGATCCAAAGACAATGGGTGCTTTTATAATTTTTTCTCTATTTCAGGCAAAGGCGAGTCAGTTTGTTTAGATCGATGTGTCGCCAAATATTTGGATGTTCATGAGCGGATCGGCAAGAAGTTATCGAACATGTCGCAAGGAGAATCTGAGGACCTCACCAAGGTCAATTTGGATAACAAGAAATAGAACGACACTAATTTGGATGAGGCTTATTATGAATCATAGTAAAATGTACCTGACATTGTCATTATTGCCATATAACAAATGTAAAAAGCGAGTTTATTTTTATATCTCGAAAAAATGTATTAGACATACCAATGTATGAACCAAAACTAAATGGTATTTCAAAAGAAACACAAAACCTCAGCTAAGACTGCCTGTAAGTATTAAAAGTAATACATATTTATCATTTCTTTTCCATTTTACGATACGTAATGATTCATTGTAAGTTATCATCCAGTAGATAATTATTTTTATGTAATGACAAATTATATGTTTGGGGGTTCGTGACAAATTCATGAAAGAATTTGAGATTGAATTGTCTCTATTTTTTCATAGAATAATGTACAAGTTGATATATTTTGTCTTTAGAGTGGGTCATGAATAATATTTAGTGATATATTGCTTTAGTGTTCGAATGTTAATTCTTGTTAGAAATAAAAACAAATTCAAATTCCATCTTTTATTTTACAATGTTCATATTTTGAAAATCTACAAACTAATATAAGAAACAATAATTTACTAACACAAATCACATTCACTGTGTTTTCAAATGTGCGGCTTGACCAAAGCCGAAACCATAACCAACTGTGTAACTCCTTAGAAGTTGCACTAAAACAAAAATATTGGAACAAAAGAACACAACCCCTTTTAACCATATTAGGAAGAAAACTTCCCGACCTTTGAATTCTAGTAGGTACGCGTAGAACAACCACGCGCCTTGTGCGGAGACCCAGATGATGGCCAGTAATAACGCTTTCGAGGACTTGATCCTGAACGAGTGAGCGACCAGCGGCAACAGCGACAGGAACCACACAAAGTACTGTGACGTCATAACACTATTAAAAGCTACTACGACCACTGTCTGACAGAACATTGCCAGCGGCAACGTCTGAGGGTCGGGCCCATACTTGATGCTCAACAAAAACAATATAACAGCTTTGAACAGATTAGTAACATTTTTCACAATGTCAAGCCCTTGATTCGTATTCAAATATGAATAATAGAAAAGTACAGAGAAATTGTGACGAGTATCGGTTCTATGTACATGATAAATATACGTCTCATAAAGGAAATCGTAGCCGTACAGTGCATACATACTGTATGTGAGACCAAATAGAGTGACTATACAACTCATTGCCAAAATCAGTTGGCTTACATTCGGCCATAGGATCAGCATTCCCTGCCTGAAAGTGGTCTGACGTGGTATCTTGGTGACTCCTAAGCTTAGATACATGGGAAAACTAAATACAATTGGGTACAAGCGTAAATGGATTGATATGCCAAGGAACAGTCCTGATAACGCATATTTTTTGAGGCCTTTGACTACATCGGTTTGCAGTAAAAGCAATGAAAGTATGATAGTGAAACATGAGACGGAATCTGCGTTACCACGAGTCGATATACCTATGCTCAACGGATTGTAAAGCCACAAAAACGAACAGTACATCGGCACATTGGTGGCGGCACTCTTCGGGCCTAGCTGGTGTTCTACTAAATTCTTCACTGCGACCGTTATTAACAGATCAAATACAGAAAAAAGAATTTTGCCAAAGTCTTTACCGAAGATAATGTTTGGTACAAGCAAGTAGGATATCAAGGGACTGTATCTATAAGTCTGCCGTTTGTATGGAGAGTCTCCATTATACACGTGCCTCGCCGCATCGGAAAACACGGAGTAATCAATGTCGGTGTAAGGTAAATCATAGGTGTTATCGTGAAAATCCGCGTAAACAATCAAAAATATTCTTATAAAGAGACCTGCAGCGAGATGGTAGCGTAAAGGCAGGTTAAGGACTTCCAAGTAACGATTCATCTTAAATCCTGGTCTTCAAATCTTTAGCGGCGGAATATAAACAGGTTTTGAACTCCTGGAATTCTTTCGCACAATCGTCCTTTTTCACCGATCCTTCCTTGAGTAAAACACAGCGTGCGTACAGTACACTCTGCTTGGAACACTTAGCAAACACTACGGGATACTTTGCAAGTCTTTCTTTGGCTTTAGAAATAGATTCCATAATTACTCGACTTTACGGCGAACCGAGAACGTGGTGGGTGGTTCAGTGAAGTCGATCGGATCGCGCGGTCGAAAGAAGATATCGTAAATGGGCTTCGAAAAGAATATCCCGATACCCAGAAAAGTGAATGTGATTTGAAAGGTCTTGGGGTACCTGTAGATCCAACTTCTTTTCCCTAGAGGTTGGCTCTGACGACGAATATCCATAGCTTATCTGAAAAAATAAACAATTTTGTATTGACCCAAAAGTTAAAAGTAGGTAATCACATAAATGGTAATTTTTTATTTATTCAATTATAGGACATGTAATCCCATCCAATACACATTTCCTTAGACTTTTCCTAAATCTTCTGTGATAGAAACATACCGTACTTCACTTGGCCGGTCTATCTGTGACCGGCGCGTACTTCCGCGGCTCCAAGTCGTAACCCTCGCACACAAGAGACACGTCTAACGGCTTGAACTTAATGCAGCACTGGCGCATCGCTTCAAATACTTTATCGCAGCGGACTTCTTGGAAGTCGTTCTCTATGGAGAAGCAGAAAAAGAAACACGTATTATTATAATGGAAATCAGCACAATGCACATTTATAAGTACAACAATACTTAATAGGATAGACGACTAATTTTTATTTTAATGTCCGTCTGATAGATTATTTAAAAACATTAGACACGTATTTTTTATTTTCTCACAGAAACGAATAGTTTCGAAGATATATTGATTTGAAATGTCGCGTGACGTCACTTCTCAGTACATTTTATACTAAGAAATGACGTTTTAGCCCCCACTCCTAAACTTTGATTCGTTTTATCTAAGTATTGTTTTATTATACGACAAAATAAAAAAATACGTGTCTAATATTTTTTCATTACCTAACTTACGGACTAATTATATTTTTAATTTTCATACCCTGTCATCATCATTCAAGGTTGACTGGTAGAGAATGCCATATGGCATTAAGTCCGCCTTATGTGCCATATTAAAATTGTGTACATTAAAGATTAAATAAATAAATAAATAAATAAATCATCCCCATTGTAGGAAAACATCATCAATTCGTTTTTCAAACTAGTAATTAGGTATGGTTCCTGTTCCTGTACCCACATTATGGGACTTGCCTTATAATTATCTTTTTAGGGATTAGGGAAAAATCTAAATACCTCCGTAAATTTAAAGTATATGGTCGACTGTCTGATAACGCCACGTTTAGGCTATTACGGGATAGGGTTAAAGGGCTAGAGGAGGCATGCTACAGAAACTATTTGATGACTACGGAATCAGGTATTGAGTTAAATCCTAATCGTTTTTGGAGTTTTGTAAAACATCGTTACAAAGCTAATGCTATGCCAAATAATTTTAAATATGGTGACTCGACTGTTTCCTCGCCCGAATCCATTTGTAATGCTTTTTCTGCTCATTTTCTCTCTACCTTTCTTGCCCCAGACGGGAACATGACCACCACGGATCTTGGCCAGTATCCGGCGGACGGCCATTCAAATGTGCTGACGGACATACACACGATTGAAGTTAATCTGGATTCCATTACCAAATTGATCAGTACACTTGACCCTTTTAAGTCGGCTGGCCCTGATCATTTATCACCTAAATTCCTTATTGGATGTGCAAAGACAATAGCTAAACCAGTTTCCCTACTATTTAAAAAATCACTCTCCGCTTGTGTTGTGCCTCATATTTGGAAATCAGCGTTTATTACTCCGGTACATAAAAAGGGTCATAAGAATGAAATTATAAACTATAGACCAATTTCTAAACTATGCATATTGGCTAAAGTATTTGAGAGAGTGGTCTATGATCAAGTGTATGCAGCACTAAAATTGTCGTTCAGTTCATCCCAGCATGGGTTTCTTAGGGGAAGGTCTACGGTTTCGAATCTATTAGTTTTAAATGACTATTTGACGGAGAGAATGGACAATGGTGAGCAGGTCGATGTGATTTACACGGACTATAGCAAATGTTTTGATAGAATCGATCATTACATTCTAAAAATGAAACTACACTTGAATGGTATTAGAGGGGACCTTCATCGTTGGTTCTGTTCTTATTTGGAGAATAGGTCGCAAGCCGTAGTTGTCAGTAATTATGTTTCAAGCTGGGTTTCAATTCCCAGTGGGGTGCCCCAGGGATCCTTAATGGGGCCATTACTGTTTATAATATTCGTCAATGGCATAGACTCTTGTTTCCATAATTCTAAACTTCTTTGTTTTGCCGATGATATGAAGATATTTACCTCCATATCATCAACTAATGATATGCTGTCACTACAGTCTGACTTGGACCGTCTGACCGATTACTGTCAGTCCAACAGGTTAGATTTAAACCCCGCTAAATGTTCTGTCGTTACGTTTAACAGGAAGCGTGTTCCATTTCAGACTACCTATAGCTTAAAGGGCCAAATATTATCTAGTAGTCTTGGAGTGCGGGATCTGGGCGTTTACCATGACTCAAAACTTTTATTTAATACTCACATTGAGCAAATGGTGGCAAAAGCCTCTAAAGCACTGGGTTTTGTACAACGGCTCGGGGGCTGTTTCAGAAAGGCCAAAACACTTAAGATCCTGTACTGCACATTCGTCAGAAGCCATCTTGAATATGCTTCCCAAATCTGGAACCCCTGCTATGACAAGTACATAGACCGCATTGAGAGCATCCAAAAAAGATTTATTCGCTTTCTTTGTTTTCGTCTGAAGATACCGTATCGATCGGAGAATTATATGGAACTATGCAAAAAATTTCATCTCCACCCACTTATAAATCGCCGTCGAATAGCGGATTGCACTTATTTTGCCAAGATACTGAATAGCGAAATCGATTGCACAGACCTTTTACATAAGCTGTCATTTAATGTTCCGAAAAAGTCGGTTCGATTTAACCCACCAATTGCTGTCCCAACTTCTTCCTCAAATTATAGACAAAATTCCTATATTGTGCGAGTGAGTAGGGATTATAATAGATTGTGCAAGGATTTAGGACTTGATCCATTTACCACAAGCAGTTCCGGGGTGCGTAGGCGACTAAACCTAAATTTTTTTGAATGACTACCATGTTTTATACTTTTATGTGCATTGCATTCGCAAAACCTCTGTTAAGATATACTATAGCTACGCGTGGAAACCTATAATTGGCTTTGTATTAGCATATTCTGAAATTTTATTATTTGTTATATAGCTGTTGGTTACCCGAATTAAAATAAATAAATAAATAAATAAAATAAATAAATAAAGTTATAAATGAGTAATTAGGTACCTACAACCAATTTTGGGAATAAAATTAAAAGTTAGTTATGATATACATATCCTAAATTAGAAACCAAAACAGAATTGACACCGCCTATAATTCTAGAATGTTCGTCATTCCATATCGACACAGCCACATGATGTAGTGACATTTGGTTCGGAAGTAAACATACGCCCCTTGCTTCGCACGTTCATTGACGAGTCGTCACACTCATCTCGTCACGTGTTCAGAGATTCCGACATACCTATACATCGTATGAAATGGACGCGACCATGATTGTCAGCTGTTTACGTTTATGGCACTGCGTGTAAAATATATGAATACTTTTGTCTTTCTGGTCATACTTTTATTTATTAGCCATGGTCGTTCTACTGCAAGGTAAAGTCATCCCTACCCTCCTTCCAATCGTCTCTCCATAGAGCTTGGTCGAACTTTACCCCACAATAAATCAATTGCCTAGAAAATGTGCTCTCATGACATAACGAAAGACCACAATTGTTCTGTCTGTACTAGCTCAGTAGGTAATAGGTTACCTGATGTACTAATTACATATAGTAAGTAGTACTAAGTAGATAGTAGACAGATATCCACTGCCTTCCACGAATCGAACTTAAGACAAACCTTCTATCTAGCTCCAAGCTCCAACCATCAAGACAGTAATTACAAAATCGAATCAATAATTATAGTTTGAAGGAACGAATAAGTACTACGAGGAAATGAACCTGCGGTCATTGTGGTTAGGCTAGGTACTTCTACTAGGTATGTATATCTAGACTTAGAAAATGCAGTATGATTGACCACAATATGGAAAACCTGCAAATTCGTCTGGAAATTATCTCACCAGCAAATATCACATTCTAAAATTACAATATTTTAGTTAAATACTATTGTGGTTCTTTTGGATGCTGCTAGCTGAATCAAAACCTTAAATGTAGTGTGTGCTGAAGAAGAAAACTACATTTAAGCTTTTGATTGTCAATAGAAAACTGTTGAAGGCAAATCCCCGCTAACCTCGGTCACCAGTGACCCCATGGCGTTTAATGTGTTGAGCTCCTATTTAGGATAATTCTTAGTTCGGCTACAGTTTCGGCGAACGGCGTGAAGAACTAAAGTGGAGTCTTATATTCAGCACTGGACATCTGGCTGATAATTCATTATTGCTAGAGAAAATTGAACAGAAGTTTTAAAACATTATTTTAAAATATTCTTCAAATTGTCACAAACAACAGTATTTTTATTACGTAGTTGTGCCTAAAATTCATACACATCCATCAAGACCAGCTAATCTCGTTGCCAAGTCGTTAAAAACTGTTTACGTCAACGAGAACACGTTAGAATGGACGTCACTCACGGGGGTTTGGCTCAGAGGTCAGCAAACTACTTGTTTTTGCTTGCTTTCAACAACAATTTATTGAATAAATAATTGAGGCATAATATGATTGACAATAAAATTGCTGAAGGTATCTTCAATTTTAGTTTTCAAGCTGGACCTGACTGCAGTTTGAAGACAGAAAGTGCTTTTATTTGTATTGTATGTAGGTATTTTGCGCTACAGCGCAACGTGTCGCGGATTCGATTCCCGCACAGAACATTATTCCACAGATTGTTGTTCTGGGTCTCGGTGGTATGTGTAGGTATCTAAACTTGTATGTATGTAAACGCACCCACGATACAGGAGAAAATACTAGTGTGGGGGCAAGTCGTGGAAAACCTAACGGGTAACCGGGGCTCCGGCTCGACGTGCAGGAGAAGGAACGGGGTGGTTTTTAGTCAATAACAGTTTGACACTCCCTCCCGCCTCACCCAGGCGGGAGCAGTCGTTAGACGATTTTCCCCCCTTAAAAAAAGTGTGGGGGCAAGGTTTGTTCAAAAAATATTCATAAAAGCGTTAGCCATTAGATTATGAGAGCGCTGCCTGTAGTCTCTATCAATTTTGATATTAGTCGGTTCTAACGATACAAAGAGTATTATTCCATTCTATTCGACTGTGCTAGTACCAAACTTCTTACTTTTCTATCGTAAAATTCTCCTGCTTCAGGTACGCATCGACAACTTTACTTACTTACCTGTGTGGTGTCTAGTTAGAATTCGTATAGACCACAGTCTAGGGCCTAATAAATGACAGTAGGTATGTGTCCAATTACTTTCTAGAAACGAACTAGTAAAACATAAAATTTCACTTTGATAGGGTGTAGGTATATCTATAGACTACATATACAATCACGGGCCGATAACAAAGCTTTCCTATTCCAATACCCTGTGAAGCTACCCACTCCAACGTACTATGTCCCTGACTGACTTATTGTGGGTCACGGTCGCTTCAGAAGTATCTGCATGTATATTCTGCATACGTAGAATTATCTCTTCATTTGCTTGTATCAGTGGCTCCGTTTAAAGTTTAACATCCGTCGATATTTCCTAACATATACCTATATCCAGACATTTGGACGTGTGAATTTAGCGTGAAAGTACCTAGTGTATACTTAGATTGAATATATTATGTAACTAACCGAAGGGTTAACGATGCAGCTTGCGGCAGATCTGTAAAAATTAGAGGTTCTTTAAACATAACTGTTTTGCCAGTAGATTTATAGAGGCATAGTAACCTACTAGTTAATTGCATTGCGCATCTCTTGCGCGTGCAAAATGATGTGCAAATAATTTGCACTTCAGCACAACGTCATAATTGGTGCGATATATGTCATCATAGTCATGATGCAATACTGACATAATATCGGTAGGTACATACACACACCTTTTTTTGTTGAGGGGGAAAACGTTCAAAATGTGTCTAGTTTTTTGTGGAAAAAGACTATGGGAGTGAGTTTGGTATTTTTACGTCCCCATTGGCCACTATTTGCACCTGAAGGAGGCACCGGGTCCTCTTAGTAGCCCAGTCCCGGAGCCCCCACGATACTACGCCTTTTACGGCACCTCCCTATGGACACCTACCTTTCTTCCTAGAGGCTCTCTGTGCAGTGCACGGCAGCACGTGACCGCTATGCCGTAAGTCGGTATTTTCCTAATGTATGAAGAATATGAAGATGCATGATCAAGCCATTTGTATCAGATCATATTATAGGTATATTGACTGGAAATGGTAATGATACCTGATGTTTACTTAACAGGTCAGGTATCAGTTTAATCAACATTTGAGATCCGACTCCATGTGGTTGACACATGATATAACAACTTAGGTATTCGCCGAAGTTAGATAGATTATAGAGGGGAACATGTTTTTTAAGGGGAAATAATTATAAAGTGGCTCCTCCCACATCTAAAACAACTTACCAAAACTTCAACTGCCTGACTACACTATCATGTGTTATCTAAAAGGGGGCGGCCTGTACCTAACGATATTGATTACGGGAATAACAATAAAAAAATGGTAGTGCGACTGTCTGAATCATAGATAGGTATTGTTACCATTGAAGTAAATCTGGTGTAAATAACTAGGCAAGACCTAGGTATGGCAAGAATCTCATGAACGTCAAGAAGTAGGGTATGTAGGATCGTAGTATAAGTAGATGATGCGGTGGTTTAGTATGATTCCCCCTACTAAAACAATGAGTTAGAGACTAATCTTACGTAATTATTTCAACGTTTAAAGTAGGAACATAGGTAAATATTCTGTTGCCTTGTAAGACTCAAACAATGTTCGTTATCTACTAATGTCTAACGTACACTGGCTACAGGGATCAATGCCTTATTAGGTAATCAGCTTACGATGTTCCATACATAGTAATTGAGTATATAAATAACATTCCGGCCTGATAACTTACACAAACTAATACTTTGTTGATAAAGTAGTATTCACTAAAATTCCATAGAAGAACCATTCTCCTTCATTCATTTTCATTACGTAATAATCGTTAACATTACGCGAGTTCTAGATTTTTTAATTGTCTCTGCTACAAGACCTAGCACGGTCAATTGGCGTTCAATAAAAAAACGTTTTCAGCAATTTATACATATATATTTTATTAACAATAATGTTACAATCGACATGCCGCCTTAATCTCAATAGAAACAAGATATCTATATTATACAGTGTGATACTAAAACCAAACAATTATTAATATAACACAATATTTTCAATAACTTGTAACTTTACTTAATTTACATAAAAATAATGGATATAATCTACATAAATTATCCGTGGACAGCACAAGAACCTTCAACAAATGAGATGGTGATGTTCCTTGCATCTGACAATAAGGCATTCCATGCGCCCATCGGCCGTAAAACATTTTAAACTTAAACTAATTAAATACGCAATACATATTTAGTATACTTTTTACAGACATTTGTCTTGTTAGATTCACGTTACTATTATAGTAGCTATAACAAAATATTCATTGCAATATTATTTCGTTCGCGCCGGAATCAAACACGGTCCCGTCGTAATATTTCCCTAATACGGTGACAGGCCTCCAATTGGTACTAACTGCTCTCTTTACGGATTCAATTGAAATAAATTGATGTAGATACAATCTATGGTCGTGCATTGTTTAACAATGCAATGATATGTACAAATAACAAAGCCCAAACACTTTTAAATTGCTTTAACAAATCACTTTTTATAATATAATAAAAATTACACTTCTAAAGAGCGATCAGCAGATCCATAGTGGACCTATGAATTAATAAAAATATTTATTAAAATGGACAGAGCATCATGATAACAGGGAACATTAACTTCTTAGCTTGTTCTACTGAAATCTAGCATCAGTATAATCAATCCTTGATGTTCATTCATATAAATGTGATTAATTAAAACAAAATATTACGTTTTCCTCAATTAGAGAAATCACACATTAATTGGATTTAGAAAATTTTAACCATTAAAATAATGAATTCTGATGAAAACAATGGCACCGCGCGCGACTTTACTAGTTCCGTAAAAATGTTGATTGACAACATTTTAACAAATTCAAATGTTATGAAGCCTACTTATAACTTGATTTGAATCGGCTCCCTGTGTGGATGTATATAATACGTATTATAATTCTACTAAGTAAAAGTTTACGATTGTAAAACAATTTTGGTGGAATCATTACAATAATACATATTTAAAATCAGACTCTTGAATTATTGTTAAATTAATTATGTTTGTAACAATATGATAAAAAATGGCAGATCCTGAGGCGCTAAAAAATTTAAAATCATCAAAATATTGCAAAACTTAACTATAAGAATATATTATGAAGCAATTTTTACACAATAAAAAAATAACTTCTTGCAAATTATTTCCGACACCTACATTTTTGACTTCCCAAATATTCTTAAAATACATCTTTTTAATTTTAATATACACACTATGTATAATCATTAATCACACTTTTGATAATTTTCTATGAAAACAATCTTCTGTCGAAATGACATAAATGAAAATGTATGTGAGAATAAAAAGCTGCACACTGCACAGGACAGTGATCAAATTAATAACATTTATATGTATTTCACTAATTCAACTTATATAAGTATATAAAATAATTGTGGGCTGTATAAAATTAATATTTTTGTCACTGAAAAGTTACAGTTATTTTAATTCTATAAGTTCATTGGTTTCTATAATAAATACATTTTTACTCTGTGTGCTGTAATAAAAAAGAATTCAAATAATATCCTTACGTGAATGGTTTATTAATTACTACCTATTCATTAAATGGACCGTTATTAGCTTCAGATATTTAACATATTCAACAATTACAGATAAATGAAATTACACACAATTCAATGTGAGTTTTAGATAAGTTTGCTTTAACCAACAGTGAACCAGTTTGATAAGTGCTCTGATATTAAATAGGTACCTAGAATGTTACTACTTTCAATGATGGATTATTTTTTATATACATTTCAATTAATATGATAACAATTTGCATAGTTCATGTGACTCATTACTGACCTGAGTTCATATTTCAAAAATGTCAGTTCAATTAAAAGCATTTCACTGTTTTAAATATGTTTCAACAAGCACATTCTATTTGAGTAAAATAATAAGCCCTTACATGCAAAAACAATGGCTTGAGATACATATGATTGATGTTCTACTAAAATGCTCTTTACATTGCTGCAATAAGGTACAATTTTGTTAACTAACTTACATCATAACGGATATCTGGATAATCCATCAGCTATACTTGCAATGACAGCATTGTACACTTACAATTAGAGCCCATATTCCATTTAATGCTGACAATATTCACTATGTCAATAATTTCCATTTATACAGCTCCAACATTTTATTAATAGAAATCCTGAATTCTACAACAATTTCTGTATAGGACACAGTTGTACCAACTTTTCACTGTAGGCCACAAACTATGTCTGATGACTAAATGAAAAGTCAATATAACTACAATCCATTAAATAATAGTTTTCAAATATGAAAACATATAGTTCATATCTTCAGCGCCTGTCAAGTGGACCGCGCATGTACATATCGGCTATTGACTTGGACTAGCTTCACTTTCAGGCCGGTTTAGAACTGGCTTCTCCGCTATCACTGGTTTCTCTGCCACTTGAGGTTTCTCAGCAAGGGGTGATTTCTCAGTATTATTTGTTTCTCCAAAATGGGGGCAGATTCATCATCAACTTCTTCATCCGTCTGATTATTTTCAATGTGCGTATTGGACAGTTTATTAGTTATCACATCAGGTTGTTCCTGCTCCATCTCAGAAGGTCCATTCTGTTTCTCTCCATCATTCATGGATGGAGAGATGGATCTCTGCATTATGTTGGGATTGTTAGGAGATATTGCTCTGTTGGAGTTGTCTTCACTAGATGCACTCAGTTGTCTTGGCATTTGTTGACTTGGGTGAGACAGTGTTTGGGGAACATGTGCATTATGTAAGGGTAGTCTAGACTTGTCACTCTTCCTCCATAGGGTCACTTCTTGTTGTTTAAAGTAGCGGCGGTCTTCAGTGTCCATTAACACAAGATTTAGGTAGTACCGCACTGAAAACTTATTGTTTATATCTCTCATTGTTGGTGTCAGGTCATAACCAGCTAAGAATACTCTTATAGGAATGCTTTCTCCTCTAACAGGGGCTCCATCCATAATTTCATATTTTGCAACTGTTTCATTCTCTGTGAAAGTGTTAGGCCCAGAACCTGTTGTTTCTCTTTTAATTATTGATATTTCCATGTGTTTGATTTTAATACGAACAAGTAGGAAGTAGATTTTACCAACAATTACATCCTTCAAATGGTATTTTGATTTGTTGTACTCAAATTCTATGTGTAGGCAATCTTCAATGCCTACTTCCATTTTAATCGAGTTTAATACGTCGGGGTAGCTGCATAGCGTGTGAACAGCGATGTCCACCTCTTTGACGACATCTGTGAGACGGCGGACTATCGTAGCTCTCAAGAAGTACCTTAGTCTGACATTAGCGCCCGTATAAACTTCGTAAGGCTTTTCAACGTTGGCGAACTCGAATGGATACGAGGTATGCTGTAACAGGTCACCAGGGCGTGCCAACTCCTTTACTAACGATATAAATTCATGGTGATTACCTCTATCATAAAATAATTCGATCTGACCTATAAGTTCGACCTTGATACCTTGGTGTTCAAGTTTCGATCCGGGTTTTCTCAGAGTGACGTTTACTCTGCCCGAAACGGTTTCTCCGTCGTAGTACAACAATAACTTCTCCTTTTTGCCTTCATCCGTTTTCACTTCGGCAACCTTCCGTTTGTCAGCATCATCAAATACGATTTCAATATCCGCAGTCTGTCCGAACCCGAAAAAGCTCATTTTCGCACTTATCACTTACACAACTTATCGCAAAGTTTTTACGTGGCTTTACAACAAAAATGTAACGATTTATTTGAGCAAAACATTGAAAAACGGCGATGAAACGCCCGCAAATCTGTGGAGGCGATTGAAAGGTTGAAGCAAAGATGGCGACTGATTTTATGTCGGCTGTCGGCGAACAGGTTCATAAATAAAATTATAATGAAAAAACTCACCAGCAAGGCATTTTTGGATGGCACACGCGAATTTCTTGCAAGGGTCCTTAGGCATAAATAGTTATTTTTGATATTAGAATATGAAATGTATTTATAAATACTGAATTTCAGTCATGTGTACATGACAAATTTTGATGAGGCAACTCAAAATATCTAAAGGTCCTTTTTCACTATCTTATACTTTCTTATGTAACATATTATTTATTATCTCAATTGTTCTTATAGTTTCAACACTTTATTATGTCGTTTATATTCTTATTTAAATAAAAAGTTGTTTGAAATTTATATTTTAATAAAATAGTCGGTTACGTAATAAGCTAATTTATTATCTGTGATACAAAAATGGAAAATAAAAGTGTTACCACCTACAAAATCCTTTTTGTTAAATGGCGGATCTCAAAATTCTCTAACAAAAGCGAGTTGGTATTTTCTGTGAATAAAACAACGCAGGTGAATCTATAAGCATGGAGATTACGCGCACTACTTTAGGAATTGCAGTTGGAATAGCTGGTACCTTATTCCTTGGATATTGTGTGTACTTTGACCAACAACGTCGCAAGGATCCTCTTTTCAAGAAGAAGTTGAGAGAACGTAAGTTTTTCTAAATATTCAATGAAAACAGCATGTTTTGGTGTGTTGCATGTTTTAATTATAACTCATGAAGTAGAATAACTTTACTACTACACACATTTCAGTTTTTTTGTTAACCTAAAAATTTCACAAGGAATATCGTTACAACATCATGCATCAATCAATTCTCGCTTGAATAACTGTTTGACTTGCCCGCTGCATCACAGACAACGATAATAAAAACGCAGTGCGTTATAACTATAAATTATACATAACTAGGTACATCGTAACTATATCTGCAGCTGTAGTATCATAAAATTAGCCGCTTTTGATTAACTGTGCCAAACATGCTTTTGCAATGATCTAAAACTATCATAAATATTGCCGTACTTATAAGCAAGCGTGTACCTACATAACGATACTCCGTCATGTAAAGTTTTGTTTCATAATTAAGGGTAGATAACTAACCTCATACAAAACCTTTATCCTGTGATCTCTTTGTCTTGAAATAGCTACGGATGCTATGGGCTATCTATGACTTCCATACATTTCTGATTGTTGAAGTTATCATGTTTATATTTAACTAACCTTTAGTTAAAAATAACCTTTGTAATAAAAACTCCCAAAACTATTGATGAGTAAAACCATAATAATATTAACATTCAAGCTCTCTTAACCATTTGACTGCCTGGATATCCAACACAATAGAAAATGCATTGTATCTCTTGTGGATCCACATTCAGGCATGCCATGTATTTAAATCAGTACTTGGTTTCTGGTTTACCACCATTTAGCAAATTAAGAAAATAACTATACAAATATTCAATGAAAATTTTATTTCATTGAAATAAGAATGTATTTTTTTAATAATAATGTTACTGGAAATAAAGTATTTGTTCAGGTGTTATGTACAATACATTTTGCATAATAATAATGCACACATGACAAAGTCACTACTGATGGTAATAATAATTTTTAAAGTTTTAGCCTTGTTTATAGCTGGGGTTGGCGCCAAACTTTGGTAAAATTAGATTGGAAAAATGTTTATTAAGAATACTTGATTTGACAAATGATATCCTTTTCCTAACTCAGGATTAATGATTCCATATTACAAAAGCATGATTCAAGATAATGCAAAAATACAAACTTTTTTAGTCCAAAAATACAAATGAATTTAGTTTGTATTATGTATAAAGAATTGTAGCAACAAAAATCAAAAGATGGCACAGGATCTACTTTTTCGTGGATAACACATAAGTCACTGTAATTTAAAAACAAAATGACTTAACCCTCTTTATGTTCTGTTTTTCTGATGACTGATGGAACCTTACTACCGATTACCTGGTGTTATTTGGACATCAGACTTTCAAGGACATATATCCGATATCTGATTGGATATACATCCAATGATATCGGTTAAGTATAAATTTATCCTTCGAACCCTCAGTAATAATAATTAATAATTAGTAAGTAATAAGTAGGACATTATGGCTGTGATGGTGGTCATTCAGATTTATTGCTTGCATGCAGACATGCCATGCTATTTATTAAACTGTCAAACACCAAGCGGTCACTGGTGACCGCAACCTATTGTGTCTATAAATACGGTACTCGACGAGTTAACTCTCGAGTAATTTTTTTTATTAATATGCATTTAATTGATCAATAATTAAATTTAAGAGGAAGATCTCATTATGCTTATCTCATTTATTTGAACCCTTATCTTTTACTGTTATTTGGAGCCGCGGAGAACTTAACAGGTTGCCAGGGCTCCGGCTCGAAGTGCAGGAGTAGGATCGGGGTGGATCTTAGTCACTAAGAGTCTGATAGGGGACACTCGCCTCATCCATGTGAGAGAAGTCATTGGATGATTTTCCCCCTCAAAAAGAAAAAAAATCTTTTACTGCTAACGCTGCTAACTGTTTTTATACTTCTAACCTAACTTTGAAAACTATAATTGTAATAAATCTAGATAGCAAACTAACTAGATTTTAATTATGTACTTACCTAGTTACCTACAATTTTATACAAAAGTTAGTAAGTAAAATAAGTTAGATTCGCAATTCAGAACATACTGAAAATGGCATCAAAAGAATTGTTTATAATGGTAGTTTTGCTGAGTAGTACAAAAAGTAAAAATGAGAATGTCTGTATTTCGTTCAACAGCTAACTGTACAAGCAGGTTTTGTGCCACAAAATGTCTATGCATCGATTGTACCATTAATTCCACAGACATAAAAAATTGTGGGAAAAGAGGCAAAATGCAACATGTTTTTCATATATGTATTATAGTTTTTGTGAAAAGTAAATAGATTGGTTGGACAATAGGTTTAAAACTAATGTTGCCGAAGATTTTTTATAAGGATCTGAGTCAATATTAAGAATGATGTAAATCATAAATTACCTTATGACATGATGTAATGATAATTCATATTTCTCATACTTTATCAGCAATACAACTGTGATAATATCTCAAAAGTGTGTGATATAATTGATAAGGATTACACACACACAGCATATAAAAAGCTTTTAGTTATTCTGCTATGCCAATCCTTCAGAAAGTGTATGTGATGTGTGACTTACGATCAACAAATATCGACTGCATGGTTGGCACGGTGGCTGGGCAACCGGCCGTCGTGAAACGTGTAGCGAGTTCGATTCCCGTACAGAGCAACAACTACTTAATTGTATATATGTAAATGATTTAATATCTGAATTACATACAAACCTGTGATCCACAATAAAGAAATTTGAACTGGTCGTGTGATCCACATATTGTTGTTTCGGGTTTGAGTGTCATGTGTTTGTGAACTTATTTCACAATGAACCCACGACTTGGGAGATTTTTTTAAAATAAATGAATAGAACACTTTACTGAAAAAAAAGTATGATTTTAAAAGTACGTACATCAAATTCATGTTTCATTCAGCATGTAGAATTGCGTGTTGTGAGAGTAACTTCAGTTCTATTTAATTTAAGACTATTTATGAAAGCTAAAAATCGATTTGCCGAAGAATGACTTTGGTGTTGTACTAATTTTTGTAAAAAGAATGACTTTTACACTTATTCTCTATTCTATATAGGTAGACAGAAGGCCCAACAGAATGCTTCGCAATCCCGCACAATGGGCGGTCCTCTGCCGGACATGAGCGACCATGAGGCTATGCAAAGGTTCTTCCTGCAACAGGTGTGTATTAATAAATTATAATGTATGTATACAGGTGTAAACGGAACGCTTCCCAAAAATATCGACAGGTGATGGTAAAAAACAAGCTTATTTTCATAAAAGTTAGGAATTAAATGTTTGTAATAGTCGGGTTTTCCTTCCTGACGCTATAACTCCAGAACGCACGAACCGATTTCAACGATTTTGCATTCGTTGGAAAGGTCTCGGGCTCCGTGAGGTTTATATAAAATATAAAACAAAAAAATCTTTATCTTTTAATATCCGAACGAAATGTTACATAAAACGAAGCCTACTGGTGGCGAAACGGAGTTCGTCGGGTTTGCTAGTAGTTTATAAATAACACGAAAACAAAAACAATTAGAACTTCTAGTCTAGTCCTTTCCATCATCATACCACAAGACAAACGGCGAAGCTTCACCGATTGATTGTAGACGTCCTACCCACACTCAGGAAGCGCTTCGCATCAACCTTCCTTGTGCGTACTGCTAAGAAGTGGAATTCTTCGTCAGAGTCTGTATTTCCTGAAGAGTATAACCTGGATGTCTTCAAGGCCCGAGTAAATATGGGTCGACGTGCTCCACCGTAGACCACATTATCGCTTACCACCAGGCGAGATAATGGACAAACGTTGGCCCATCAAATATAAAAAAGCGTTAAAGAAGCGTTTCGGGAGCGTTCCGATTACCTACATTCTGTATGCGGGGTAACTTCTGTACTACTCAACCGTATAAAATCGTCATTTTCAGTGGCAACATCAGTAACTAGCATCTAGACAAAACTACAGTTACCCATTCCAAAAAAATATATCTCGATTTATTGATGTATTAAAATTTTAGCAGAAACTCAACCTAACTAACTTTTTGTTAAGTCTAACTTGCATTGTTTTGTGCTTATTTAATTTAAGCTTCATTTGGCTTAAATTTTTTAGTACTAATGAAGTCAAAATAATGAAGAATTTAAAAATAAAATGTGTCAAACTAAAGTACCGTCATAATTTGAACTTGTAGAAATAGGATTTTAGACATTACAGTATTATAAATTGTGTTGTCTCTCGCAATATTAATGGGATTTATAAAATAATTTCAGATTCAACTTGGTGAGGAGTTGCTAGCGGCCGGCGACTTGGAGGCCGGTGTGGAGCACCTGGGACAGGCTGTCGCTGTCTGCGGGCAGACGCAGCAGCTCCTCGGTGTAAGTCTACTCACTAAGCCGTTATATTTTATTAATTTAGTATTTTCCGCGACAGCTAGAAATCATTCAAGAATAAATATTATTTGGTTGGAATTAAATAATTATAGTTCCGTATTTTCAGCTTTCGCTTTCCATACCAGTTTTGAACACCAGAACAAATATATTTCATACGATTTGGTTTATGAACTGACTTGTTTAAATATGTACCTACATGCTTGGGTTGCTCTCGTGCTACACGCACATTACGATACTCTTTCAATAATATACACAAATGCGATAGCTTTCTAATCTTTGTAATATCTTGTTGTTTCCAGGTATTGCAACAGACGATGCCCGCCCCGATCTTCCACCTGCTGCTGAAGAAGCTGCCGGAAGTGTCGGAGAGGCTCCGAGCCTCCATGAAGGCTAGCGGCAAGATGCTCCAGGAGGAAGACGTCGAATAAACATCATCACTCTCAGAGAGGAGATATATTTTCTGAATATATTTTCTACATCTCGCTAATCATGGAAACTTCCATCTTTGATCGACACAATGCTGCATTGACGTAAGGCTCCTGACTTCCATTTAATGATTAATTTAATATTTATTTTAGGTACCCTAACGAAATATCCTTTGCAAGTAATTTGTATGTTAAGAAATTTAAAGTAAGAACTTGATTAATTAATGTTAACTAAACGCCTTGCGTCAATGTAGCTAGTAGAATAATGAAACAATGCAACATTTCACCATTTGTTAGCAATCGGACATGAGTCTTGCCAGACTGAGGTCCGTCGATCAGTGAACTACTGCGGTGTACACCGCGCTCCTTCTAGTTGAGAGACCTACAGTAGTATACAGTTAAGTTAATTATAAAGCAACCCATCAAAGAAACTATTATTGTAATTATTTCATCCTAGATTAAATTTTCTTTCGACTTTCAAAGCCTTAAATTTTCCAAGTACGTGCATTGGGCTGTGATACATAATGTGCTTGAAAATCGATCCGCCATCAGGACGTCTGTTAACTTGGCAAACGGGAGTAGTGTGGAGTAAAGCAAGTTCAATAATAATGTAGGTATTTGTTAGTGTTATTTAGGTTTTGTTTTGTGTTCACAACTGGTTAAGGATGCTTGTGAGTTTTGATTGAGATTTTATTGTGAAATAAAAGTATTGTACAAATGTAATTGTTTTATTTTAAAGCTATGCGTTAACTTGACTGGATATCTTCTGAAATTGTGTAACATAATCTCTTTGGTATGTTGAAAAATACATGTATCGCCTATATTGATACTAGAATATGCATCACAGAATATCACATAGGAAACTATACCTAGGTAAGTATGTAAGAACAATAAATAAATAAAACAAGAGATCCCAAATCATTCACCAGTTTATTGTAATAAAATTAATATAAACTACAATTTAGAGATACAGTCACAACACCGGTATAATTTGTATTTTCACAAGAATAACAATAAATATAGACAAACTTAAATAGTCATCAGAAGAAAAGTAACAGAACTAATAAGACTCATAATTTATTCAAAGTAAACTTAAATGTGTAGAATACAAATCTAGAATGCATATCTAGAGTGTAGAATACAAGTCACAAAAATTGGTTGCTACCAACATTTTTCTTCAATAAACAATATAGAATACCACTATTTAGGTACCTACATCAAATTTAGTCTAATCCTCAGGAGCTACCAAATAAAAAGGCTACATTAGTGGAGGTTCAAATCGTAATTAGGAATGTGGTAAGTACTTTATACAACTACCAAAAAAAAAAAAAATATCAAGAAACTCTCCGCCGTGTGCCGTGCTCTCAGATATACTAAGGCGGTCTAAGGCTTAGAGATATACTAAGGTTTCAGAGGGGCGCCGAAAACGCGGTACCTAACTGTCCATAGAATGGCTGTGGCGCTACAGGAAATTAGGGGCGCCTAATGTATTAGGGTGTGAGGCTAGGGCGCTCTCTCTGGGTTTGCAGCTTTTCGGCCTTGTAGTCGAAATCATAATAAAGCAGGTGGATAGAGGCATTCGAGGATTGAATAGATACTATTAATTTTCTCAATACCTATTCACCTCTCTTGTAGGCATCTCTATGTACCGTTATCAGGATCTATCTATTGATCAAATCGTTTAAAAATTTAGTTTTATTTAATGAGGACTGTTTGACACGGGACGTCTTTTTAATATTTAAGCATCCAAATGTCTGGAGCAATAAATATCATGAAATTGGCTAGAAACTAAAAAATTGTTTTATTTAATCTAAAACAACTAACCACCAGTTTCAACCTTACACCTATACATTTAAGATTCAAAGTAATAATTGTGAATAAGGAGCCTGTATTAAATGATCGTTCATAAGAAAACTATGTTATTGTCTTTAACAAAAAAAAAAACACCAACGAAATATAGCTTAGATACCTTAGAACAATTTTATTATAACGAAAACAAATGTGCAGGGCAGTAAAGTGGACTATTTATTCCGTAATAACTATTAACATGATAAATTAATAAGTACCCAGTAAATACATAGTAGGTATATAACAAACACGATTTAATATACTAAATCACATTCATACGCTCAACAGCTGGGCTATTCTGTAAGATGTCAATTGGTACTTGCCAACTAGGCAAATACGGTAGTTTCCTAAAATTTATTTTAATGTCGGTAGATTATGTAAAACACTATATAGACACGTATTTTTTCTTTTCTCACAAAATTCAATACTTTCGACGATATTAATTTGAAATATCGTGTGACGTCACAGCGTGCTACAGTTTACAGCACGGTGTGACGTAACGACATCCCACTCCTAAACTTAACGCCATTTTATCTAATACGTGTCTTATATTTTTTCATTATCTAACTGACGGATTAATTAGATTTTTAATTTTCTTACCCAATTCAATACGTTTTTCGAACTGGCAAAAACGACAGTTTTCTATAAATGTAGAGATTGTGTATTGTGACGTCACGTTTTTGAGCGTCAAACAGCATACTGTATATTTGTTAAAAATTTGCTGGAAAAATACTAAAATTAAGTTGGTCATAAAATCAATGAATGAAAGTTTGATTATTTTTTTATATTAGATTGTATTGAACAGTCGAAATAGTTTATTGTTGATTAAAGAAAGTACCCAATTCGAATTCTCGAAGATTATTCTTAAAACCAACGACATGGCGGACCGTGATCGAGGTCATTAAGAGAGTTCGAAATGACATCTTACAGGATAGCCTAGCAGACTAAAATTGCAGTGCTACGGAGTAACATGTAAATGGAGAGCAAATGTTCGTTTTCACCAATTTCTTTTAAATCTTATGAAACTCTTAAGCTAAGATAGGTTAATATATAGCAACTTAATGACATTATGCTTATTTGACAGTACAAGTATGGGATTAGTTTAGGTGCTCCGTCACGATAAGAGTAGGTAACTTTAGTTAAGATATGGTTTAGGCGGGTAGTGAAAACGGTCGAATGTTAAAATACAGTTTTTTAAACGATGCCCCACACTATGATTTTCTCCTGTGTCGTGGATGCGTTTACAAACTTACAATTTCACATACACATGACACCCAGACTCGGGACAACAATCAGTGCGGATCAAAGAGTTGTTCCGTGCGGGAAGTGAATCCGCGACACGTTGCGTGGCAGCCAGTTACCCAGCTACCGCGCGAACCGTGCAGCCACCAGTAATACGGATATAATATTTTAGGGATCATCCCTAATTGTATTCTAATAAATGACAATATTGTTTCAAAGTGAGAAAAGGCTGGACACGAGAATTAAATAATATTATATAGTTAGCAACTTGTTCTCCATTTATTTGCTACTCCCATCAATAAAATATTTGCAATAGGTAAATTTAATAACTAAAACAAAAATCGTTGTATAAGTCAGTCATCTTTATGCCAAACAACGATAAAATATTTAAAAAAAATAATTCACCTAAAGACCTCAATACATAAGGACGATTTTGAAGTAATTAACTATTGTAACTATTACTAAGGCTACAGAGATCAAAGTCCCTTGACAGAATATGTATAATGTTTATGTGAGTTGGATTTGGATATTGTACGCAAAGATATTTATGAAATTAGTATTACTACGAAAGTCGCCCTTATTGCTATAGACATAAAGTCGTGGAAGGTTGTTTGATAAACCGCAATTTACAAACCGATTTCACTTTTTACAATAAGATTTATGTACAAATATACATACTTTATGAATCTGTATAAAATTGGCCATTGTGGCATAAATTAAACTAGATGAATTTTAAACAACATTAAATATACTTATGACACCTACAATTTGTTCCTAAACACATATTTGCACAGATAAAAAAGGTTTTATAAGGCCACTTGTGTCACTAAACTTTTATACAACAAGACATACATCCATACAGCCTTCTCACTAGAAAAAGGTTTTAATCATGATATTTTAGCGGCTGTGGAACTTCTTATGATATCTTGAGTGACTTTCATGACATCTAGAGCACCTTTCTCAATGAGGGCGTTGGCTACATCTTTACCTAGATTATCACATTTGATTATAACATCTACGGGTATAGTTGTGTTTACAGTTAACCCGCAGAAAATGCGATTGTCACTGTCGCCCTCTTTATCTTGACTAACAGATTTACCTACAATATTATCTTTAAGTACTTCATTAGGGTTTAGGATTTCATTTTTGGACTCACCATTGTCTATTTTAACTTTTTTGCATTCTGATTCTTCTGTGGGACTAAGTTTGTGTTTCTGTGTGCGTCGGATTTGTGTGAATGTTTGTTGAAGGGTGTGGTCTAGTTTGGTTTTGCCGTCCATACTCCAAACTGCTCCAGTTAGGGACAGTCTGAACTGGGAGTCTACTGGCTTGAGGGTCGTAGAGACGCCAACCGGAGCGCTGCAACCTCCACCTGTAATAAAAGTAAGAATATCATGAAGCATTTTTTTGTTACAGTTGTTTGTTAAGGTCCACTATTGATGGTCATCAAAGATTTGACACATTGATTTCTCTAAGTCAATATAGATTTTAGAATCAGCTTCCCAGACAGTAATATCATCTATGTTATCTTCTTTCCTGACATACCCAAAGTCTTTAGGAAGCTCCTCTCCGCGAGGATCCTGCAGTAAGTCTCTGGATGGTTGAAGGGCGCCAACATGTTCAGAATGTTCGTGTTGTCCGACCGACACTCCACGGCCAGGGCACCCTGTCCTACTGCGTATTTCATGTCCGCGCAAGGCAAAACCTGTAGAATAACAAAAAAAAATGGAATTTGACGATTACATTCGTTTTTTATCACCTGATGGTAAACAATCGGCGCCGCCCATAGACATACGTCACACTAGAGGAGTTGCAAATGTGTTGCCAAATCGGCGATGTTTTAATATAAGTAACTTCAGTCGATGAGCATACATGAAGAAAGCGATTAATGGAGATGAAACTACAAATATAAATACCAGAATTGGATTCCCGGAGTAGTTAAGACCTTTTGATTATAATTACAGTGTTCTATTTGTCAACTTTTATATAATTCTGTTTACCCTACCTTAGATATCCGATCCTTCCATCCCATGCGTTGTAAGCCAGCGCTGGCCAATAGTAGCGCGGCGTATTGTCCAGACGTGTCCAGTTTGCGTAGTCGGGTGTTAAGGTTGCCGCGCACGTCTGCGACAGACAACTGCGGGTACGAACCGCGCAGTTGAGCGGTGCGACGTAGTGACGATGTACCTAAAGTCATCACAATTATAATAACAACTCTAGCTTAGCCCAGCAACTTCGTAAGCACAAAAAAGTGATTCCCATTTTCGCGCTCCCGAGACAGTAAATGTAGCCAGTGTCCTGTGTCCTGTGTCATCTCATAACATTACATAACGCCTTTTATCCCCGAAGGGATAGGCTGAGGTGCACATTTACGGCACTTAATTCCACTGTACAATATAACATACTTTTTTCACTATTTATGTTATGAGTCCCATCAATACATACACTTAAACTAAGGGAATTTTTTTTATTAAGAATCTTGATTCATGAAAAATCGACATTATTTTCTAAACTAAAGCAGAATTTCTGATTCAATAATACTGAAGCACTATTTAGGATGACATACGCAAAAATACAGACGAGAAAACCGATAAAATAAAGAAACGTAGCAACAAGAGTTAAAAGACTGACACAGGGTGTACTTTTACGTGGATAACACATAAGTCATTGTAATTTAAAAACTATTATGACTTGGATTTTTTTAAATATTTTTCTGATAACTGTTGGAACCTTGTTGATCACCTGGTACCGTTTGATCGTCGACTTCAAGGACACCCTGTATAACTAAAATATGCTTGATCTACACAAAAGGGAAATACCAACTAGATAGATACACAAACATAAATATTAAGACCTATTTTAATGATCTATCTACTATAAAATGTTGATATATACAAGTACATTATGTAGGCATTGAAGTCTTACACAACACATTGTTTTATATAATTCTTATCAGTAACCAGTCTAGTCGATATCGCTATGATTGAAAGGTTACAAGGCTAAGGAATTACTTAACAAATTCCATTAAAATGTAATAGGGGGTGAGCCTATTGGCATACCGGGCACAATTCCAGACTCCGAGAATCGGATTTAAAAAAAAACCTAGTAGTACTTTGCCCGACCCGGTAATCGAACCCGAGACCCCCTCCCTCGCCCGGCAGTCGCACTTGCGACCACTCGGCCAACAAGGGAGTTTATTACATGGGACTCTTAGCATAAATCGTGACAAGTGGGTGTTACATTGTACAGTGGCATTAAGTGCCGTAATGTGCACTTCGGCACTCCTTAAAATTTGATGTTATGTTGTATGTTATGTTAAAATTTGATCTCATAGAGATTAAAATTCAGACTACATATTCATATATATTATTATTTATCATGCCTGCCTCCCATTGGAGTAGGCAAACACGATGGGACGTCCAACGACACGATTTTGGCACTATACCCCTTTTAATTTTTCGCTTCACTATGATGTTGAATGTACTAAATTAGGTACGTACGTACCTATAACAGATCCTTCAGGCAATGTAGCCAGTGTGTGGTCTTTGAAGTCCTCTCGAAGAACCAATGCGTCTCTCGGGTCTTCTCTGAAATAGGGAATGTATTATTAAAATGTCAAAATTGTGTCTTTTATGGGATCATTGTGTCTTATCAGGTCATATAACGAATATCCATGGACAATTGGAACATGGAATTACCTGATGGTAAGCGCTGCACGCTGTCCGCATATTCGGATCACTAAAAGGAGCCCAAGTACGCAAATCATAATAAATAATTATACATCTAATCTTTAATCCTTTGATGGACAAATAACATAACATAAAATCATGCCTTTTATCCCCGAAAGGGTAGGAGAGAGCACAATTTACGGCACTTAATGCCACTGTATAATGTAACACCCACTTTTTAACCGACTTCCCAAAAAGGAGGAGGTTATCAATTCGGCTGTTTTTTTTTCACTATTTATGTTACGAGTCCCATGTAATAGGGGGTGAGCCATTTGCCATATACTGGGCAGAATTCAAGACTCCGTGCTACTACTGAGAATTTTTTAAAACCGGGTTTGAACCCGAGACCTCTTGCCCGGCAGTCGCACTTGTTACCACTCGGCCAACGAGGCAGATGATAGACAAATCTACAGACTTATTGAAACTGGTAATGAAAGAATCAAGAAACTATAGTTTTGTACGCAAGTTAACCACCTTTATATTATTATCCAATAAACTTACGGGACAGATGGTTTATAAAAATTACGTTCTAAATTATTTAATGTTACTAAATGTAAAATGTAATTTATTGTAAAACAGACTTACTGACTAAAAACCCCGAAGTTACAGTTTTACAAATCAAGACAAAAAGCGAAAAGTCATCATGATTAAAACAATTAACATTTATTTACTGTAGATTAACAGATACTGAACATAAATAGCAACAAAATCATTTTCTCTGAGTTGCCATGACTCAGTAATGACTCGGCCAAACTGGAGATAATACGTCCGTTATCTAAACACTTTATTTACTTGAAGATATTAATATTAATAAGTAATGCAGCTAAACATAGTAATGTAGCAAATATTATCGATTTTGAATAGGAACGCGGGGTTTGGATTTAACCAGACATTGTTAACATATAGGTGGTATCTTCTACTGCTTGGGACTATTGTGTAGTGTATTTATTTTATTTCACAATTAATCTATCAAAGTACATCTACACAGAGTCTATTACTAAGATCTTTGCATACTTTGATAATATTATCAAATATATGATAGATATCAAAGATATGTATATACATATTATAGCTTCCGTCACATTCCAATCATAAATCTGGTTTCTCAAAAACGTCAATTAGATTTGTATTGTAACTTTCGTGAGACATACTAAATAAATCGACTAGTTTCAAGCCATGCTAGAGGCTCATATTCATGAGCAGCATTTCGCGACCCGCGACGCGGCGACTGTCGCGCTGCTACTGGCTACTCGACTCTGGCTTGGGTTCGCTTGAAACTAGTCGAGTTCCTCGTCAAATTATTACGTGAGTAAGCCGAAAACATAATCATTAACGTCAATAATGCCTGAATACTGAAACGTTACTCAATTATAAGTCGCGCTTAAGCATAGTTCTGTCTCTACAAATTCTTTGTAAAATGACAGAGACAGCATGATATTTAAGCACGACTTAAAATTGAGTAACGTTTCAGTATTCCAGCATTAGAGTTCTATTTTCAAAACGAAAAAAAAAATCTAATTTTACCTTTCAAATACAGCACCAATAGCCAGCCCATCGGGTAAGGTGGTAGGCAGGTCCTTCAGGGAATGCACCACGAAGTCCACTGTATCATTCCTCAGTGCGTCTTCAAGGTCTTTGGTGAATAAAGACTTCTCTCCTATTTTCGGCAACGACACGTCTAGTATACGGTCTCCCAGCGTTGTCATGGTAACTGGAATAAACAATCTTATTAGACCCTATTTATTTATTATTACATCTTATCAATGGATCAAAAAGCACCTATAGTAGGTGTTTTGAGTAACTTTAAGTTTTAAGGTCTAATTAGAATTTTTGGTTTAGAAGATAGAGATAAAGCAGAAGAACTTGTTTCTTTGAACTCGCTATCCAAGATATATGGAACTGCTGGTTCGAAAGCTTCGATCAACAATAACAACTAGATATCGGGTCGGCGCAAGAAAATCGTCTCGACAAATAAGAGCTCACTTGAGAAGTGAGCTCTTATTTTGTTTAGTACGCTCCAAACACGGCCAACGTAATCACGTCTCACGATGCTGCAGCGCGTAATTGCAAGTTGCAAAAATAATAACCGAAAAAACAATATAACGGCCGGAGTGTCTTACTTTCTATAAGTACATAAAGTATAAGTTATATTTTAAGCTTTTAAACTAGTAAATAATATCAAATTAGACAAAATTGCCAATTATAAACCAACGCCACCAATGTTTGTGCGTGTGTTGGCGATCCCTTGGCCAAACCTCGCCAACACGCGCACAAACATTTGTTTAAACAGAACAGTGGATGCATGGAGTCGATTTGTATTGTAAAATAAATTTGTATTGTAACCTGATTGGAAAAGAGTACCTAATCTATGGAGTATCTTGCTCGTTTTTCTCCATAGGAATCTACACATTGGAATGAGCAAATAGCTTCACTTTTAAATTTATATTGTTGACGTTCAAAAGTGCCTTCCTGGTCTAACTGAAATATATGATTTTGACTTAGACTTTTAATGATAAAGTAAATAAACATTTTATACACAAAAACGTACCGTACGTATACTAAGATCCCGAAATCTTAATTTTCATATTATAAAACTATTTTAGTGTTCAACGCGACTCCATACATACTTCCTGTAGTAAATTCGAAATTCGAAAAACCAAAACGATACAAAACAAAACGATATATAGATCACAGGGCAATAACGGAAAAATTATCTTTATTTGTTCTAAGTTAAGGTTGAATTCATACTAGATATTGTATAATTTATGTCTTTTAATTTCTACATGACAGGAGTAGGAAAATGCTTTTCTCGTCTTATGTGACGAATGGTCGTAAGTATTAGATAATATTTTGGCGATTTATGACTTTATTATTAGGTGCCATGGTTATTATTAGGTTGAACTTAAAATTATTTTAAAACATTTTTCTCTGTTTGTTATTTTTTTACTATTATTATTCACACGGACAGAACTGGAGCTTGATTTTGTACGTAACCCTTTATCTAGTTGCTATTGTTGATCGAAGTTCGAAAGTAATAACTATTTTCGTGTTGGATATTTAATTTATCGAGGGAGGCTAAGAGGCACGGTACGGTCTATAAGAACCGAGCAGCAGGTGAAACTGTGCAGGCATAGCTAATAGTGTATAATAGGAAGATTATATTTTTTTGGTAGCACTAAATAGGATCGGAAACTACTGGATTGATTTGAAAATGCTTTTACCATTGGCAAAAGCGTTTCGGGTTGTTTCGGATCTGGGTGTCATGTGCATGTGAACTTGTATATTTATAAACACACCCACGACACAGGAGAAAATCCAAGAGCGGGGCAACGATTTTCTTTTTTAAAAAAAACAAAACAACTTTACTTTTCAGCGACAACATTTTCCTACAGAATTGGGATCTAACATTATATAACATATCATCACGCCTTTTTATGCCCGAAGGGGTAGGCAGAGGTGCACATTGCGGCTCTTAATGCCACTGTGCAATGTAACACCCACTTTTCACTATATATGTTATGAGTCCCATGTAATAAGGGGGTGAGCCTATTGCCATATACCGGGCACAATTCCAGACTTCGTTGTACTACTGAGATTTTTTTTAAAAACCCTGTAATGTTTGCCCGACCCGGGAATCGAACCCGAGACCCCCTGCCCGGCAGTCGCATTTGCGACCACTCGGCCAACGAGGCAGTCTAACTAAACGATGTCGCCATAGACGATTTTGACTGAGTGGCTATCCAGACATTGTGAAACACGGCTTTAATAAAATAAATCACATGGTGTACCGACAATACTTGTTAGTATGTACTTTCTCAACAATAGGGACTCCCTAAAGTGCCTTACAACTTGTATTAATTCCGTTTTGTTACAAGACAGGGTTCAATAACCTATTGCTGTGTGCACTATACGACGCGAGGTCAAAACTCGCAGCGGACGAACGAACGATTTCCTTTGATCTATTATGCTGTGCCCACACGCTTGGCAAACGATAGCAAACAGTAGACAGGAATGGTGGATGGGCGTTTGTATGTGTGTTTGCTTGTTCTTGTTTGTGTTTGCCGCGGTTCGGCATCGGTGTCGAACAGTGGCGAACACAGAGATCAAAGGCTGTACGGCAAACGATTTGCGATGTATCCAGTGTGCATACGGTTGCTAGACATCAATGTTTAGGACTTTATTTGTTGTTTGGTATTTGTGGCATACATCAATAGGACATTACATGCACTTTAACAATAGACTGTGTTTGTTTTTAATGTGCCAATCTATATCAGTCTTCGTCCTTATTGGTAATCAAGTATTTTACTTCTACGAGTTTAAATTAACTTCGTTGGTGGTCAAGTTATCACGAGTGTGACCGCCGAGCAAGCGGTTTCGGATTTGATTCTCGGGTTGGGCAAAGTATTACTGGATTTTGTATACGACAATACTCACCTACGGTGAATTCCTTTTCAGGGTGTACTTTTTTCAGGCTGTCAATAACATAGTTGGTTTGTATCAGAGCCAGCTGAAACAAAAACACATACATAGGTATATAATTCTTATTCAGAGTTTGATATTTGCATTTTAGCATGACAAGAATAAATTATGTTGTTTGATGATGATTTTTATATTTTATTTTTGATTTGGATGTTGAATTATGTTCAACATGGGTACAGTGGACAGTGACTTGCTATTTATTAAATACGGGCTTTTTTTTTAAGGGGGGAAAATCATCGAATGACTGCTCCCGCCTGGGTGAGGCGGGAGGGAGTGTCACTCTTACTGATTAAAAACCACCCCGTTACTTCTCCTCAAGCATGTCGAGCTGGAGCCCCGGTTACCCGTTAGGTTCTCCGCGACAGTAAGTACTAGCTAGATTATGGTTAAAAGAATCTGAAGGTCCAAATAAAAACCTACATTTTTGTAGACTGTTAAAAAGAACTAGAAGTTGTCTTTGCCTCTGCCTACCCAAGTGAGACAATATTGCAAGTAAGAATATTTTTAGTGAAAATTTTAGACTAATACCGTAATTAATGAATTTCGAAAATGTCTAAGATCGTTTTTAACCTTTTGAGTACCGTCATTATAGAACACAATTAAAGAACAATAGGTTGCGGTCACCGGTGTCCTCGCAGTGTTTGACAGTTTAAATGCCAAGCCAATCATAAACAAATAGAGTTGAGAGATCAATAAGATATTTACAATGTAAGCCACATCCGTAAGTGTAACATAGTATAAATAAAACTGAATGTTTGAAAAACATCTGTGCAAACATGAAGTTAGCAAGTCGTACAGTCTGCAATTAACATTGAATATTTCTATGTAACACAGGAAATATTAAAAGTGAAATCAGAAACTACTCATTAGTTTTCTAATTGGATTTTATGCTTGTATGTACAGGCACCTACCTACTATTATTACACCTACATACTTAATGACCTTAATGTACAGGCTGAATGCATAACACCTTGATTTGTATTCTTTTTTTAATCTATAACTACTCTTTTCAATTCAAAATTAATCCTTAAGTACAAAAGGTCATGTTTTAGTTAAAAAGAAATATATTAATAAGAAAGAAAAAAGTGAATAAGTGAAACTGTTAAAACTTGATGGTATCAAAATTTGGGTCTTGGGATTATATAGAAACCAAAAATTAGAAAAAAAAAATTAGAAAAAAGAAACACCTTAATAAGGTCAACAAGATAAACACTTATTAAATGTAAACACGAGTAACTTAAGACCTTGAAAATAAATAATAGTGACGTAAAACGTTAGAAACACTATGAATATGATAATTAATTTTAATACTGCATTAACACCGCACAATCACAAAAATCTGAAGAATCATGGATGGAATAGTTGACCTCTGATAACGACATAATTTTTAAGTAAACTAGGGAATAATACGCACCTCACTTTTTCTCGAACCAACTCGAATCACATTTTTCGCTTCACTTTCCATTGTTAATTCAAATATTCACGAATTTACATAAGAATAAAATAAGTAGGAACTTTAAGGTTATGTCATGAACGTAACGAAAAAGAATGGGACAAAATAAATAATCTGGTGCCTTAATGACTTGTCACTATCACTGTAGTGGACAAGTCGGCAATTATTTAATTGATTAATTAGAATAATAAAAATACATCGTCCTATGCAACAGCCGAAACATTCAGACGTCGACCTGTCAGTGTCATTATTATTGATAACTTTGACACATCAGCAGATTGACACTGACACCTGATAACAATGTTGCCACAATCATTTCTTTGTCTTGGCCATATCAGTGTTACGTAATTTATAAATCTTTTCTGGCCGACCGTTACGATGTTCTCTTATCAGTACCCAGCAGACACCCTGACCCTAACAACAAGGTGGCAAAATGGCGCATTGGGTACGGAGCAGAGTAGTGTTTTGCTATTTGATGATGATAATAATATATGCTTCGAATTTGACTATTAATTTTAAGACCAAAATTGAACCATGGGTATAAATTAAAATAACTTCCTACAAAAATAAGTAGTAGGTTCTTGTTATACATAGCTTTCACGGAAGTTTGAGTTTGTCTCAGTTTCAGTACCAAATCAATCAATTTTAATGTCTCAGGAAGGTTATAAGTTTTAGACAGAAAAAAAGCAATAATTTCAACAAAATGATTTATTTTATAATAATCAAAGGACTTACACAAAGGAACGTCAAGCCGACAATGACAAAAACGGCTAATAGTACTCAAGTACATAGCTACTAAGGAAAACCAATTATTTTTATTAAATGCAAGTAATATTCGAATATAGCCCTTATTCTTGTAGATTTTAGTCAAGTGGGCTTGTCTAAAATCACGTCAATAATTATTTTACACCTAACTCACACAAATTATAAAATCACAGTTTTTTGTAACAATCATATTTCATTTTTCAATAATTTCAATATGCAAAACAAATGGTGGGTCAAGTTTACACCGTCAATCAATCTTATTCGTTAGATTAGAACAAATCGATATTATTTAAGAATAATATCTTCAATGATTTGAAAAATAAAAAAATAGAGTCGAGGCGGTACCTACATTAGAGCTTAACCTATAGATTTGAAAAGCGACACTCATACACCCTCAATCTAGACATAGAGATGGACCAGTGGCAAAGTACTACAATTATTTCTTGCGTTTACTACTTCTCAACCTTCTTCTGTTGCTCACAACTGTAAGGGTCTTGCTTCTTGTTTCTGTAATAAAAAAACAATTATTATCATTATACTCCACAAATATAATAAATATAAATAAAAAATATATAAGTGTTAACATACTTTTAGTAAATTAACTATTACAGATTAGTTAATTTACTAAAAGTATGTTAACACTGCTTTATTTCTATCCTTAATCACAATTTTTGGTGATTTCACAGTGTGTAAGGTATTGACAGTGGGTTCAGCTTTTGTGGACAAAACTTAAATAGAACTAAATCAAAGCTTGAAAAAATATAACGAAATATGACTTGAAACCAAATGCAGTCATGCTGTTACAAATGATTGGTAGAAAACTTTACAATACACTTACTTTTTGTAGGTTTCACTGCGGGTTTCTCAGGCTCTACAACTACAACTTCTTTCTTTTCCTTCTTACTAGTTTCCTTGTCTTCCTTCTTATTTGCGACCTTCTTACTTGGCGTTCTACCAGTACACTTAGGAACTACTTTCGATTCAACCTCTACTGACTTACTACTGTCAACACTACCTTTTTTTCTTGTGACTCTGGAACTTGGTTCCACTGGATTCTTACTCCTCATAGACCTTGTGCATCTAGTTTGAACTTGAGCAGTTTCTTTCTTAGCACATGCCTGTTGTTTCAAAGCTTCCATTTTCTCTTTTGCTTCTCGTTTTTCTTTCATTTTGTACACTTTTATCATCGCTGGAGTGTAACCTTCTAACCCCTCAATAGGTTCTTCAGGCTCCTTTGGTTTACCAGCAACCTTCCTCTTAAAAGCTGCCACCACTTCCTTCATGGCATAGGTAGGATTCAGGTTTTGTAAGTAGTCTTTTTGCATCAGTGGTGATTGTAGATGTGAGTCACTGTTCTCTGATGCATTTGATAATTTCCTGATCCTATATTTGCAAGTTTCATCATCAACATACTCTGTATTCACTGCAGCAGTTTTGCGTTCTGCATTACGAATGATATCTTCTGGGTTGCCGGCCAAGATTTCCGCCCAAGTAAACTGGCGCGCAGAGCCCATAAAATTACCAAACTTGCCTATACTATTCCTGTGCTTTCTTACTCCCCTGCGTTTTTTTATGTTCTTCTTTTTAGATCTTAAGTTTTTAGGTGATAGTTTTTTACCAAATATGTCATGTGGCATTAGAGACTTCTTCAACCGAGCTACTAAATCGGCATCCGAAATGAAGAAGTTTCGAGACGCGCAAGGCTTGCGGATTCCATCACTGGATGAGTTTAAAGTTTGTTTCAATAGTTCTAGTTTCAAGTCATTTTCAAGTGAACAAAAATTTTCTCTTTCATATGTTTTCTTGATGCCATGCCTTGCTAAGAAACTGGGGGTAGTGTTTTTCTTTCCAAACCTGTTAGAGTAATATAGTTTACGACTCATTGGAGACATTGGTGCTTCATTAAAACTTAGACACACTTCCTTATCACTAGAACAACCATTTTTCAACAATTCACTCTTAAATAGACTTCTACAATAGTCATAATCAGGTTTCTCAGTGAAGTCAAGACTTGTGACATATTCAAGGTATTTCTCCAAGAATTGGGGATAGAATTCAGTCTTAAAACACGTTTTCAACAACAATTTGATGTCAGTCATGAAGTTTTTCTTTAAAGCGTGGACTAGGTCAGGCTCAGCTAGTACCTCTGATGTTTTCCAAGGCAGGGTTCCTGTTAGCCAGTCTAGCAGATTATAACCAAGGGTTTCCAGATCTGATCTTCTAGAATGAGCTCCAATATGTGAATCTCTTGAACTATATTCCAATGTACCATCATGAGCTTTTCTGGCATCCATACTGAATTCTTTATGCATACCATCAGAGTCTAGGAATTTGGAAGCCAAACCATAGTCCAACAAATAGATCTGTCCATTGGTTTGTGATAGGACAGCTTCTTGGAATAATTCATCAACATTTTCAGGCTCACTTTCTCTCTGTTCCCTAGCATTTCGTTTTCTAGTGTCTTCTTGAAATTCTTTAGTAGTACGAATTAAGTTCTTGCCGCCAAAATCATCCAGTAGTTTTTGATATGATTGATCAGAACAGATAGAACTATTCATATCCTCATAATTAACATAATTGGATATCTGTCTGAGATTGAATGCATGATGTCGGTGGAGAGTTCTACTATCTCTGTCTGACAGGATTCTACGTAGCTTCTTTTTGACATTTGCAAGTCTCTTGTCGTTATCATTTGTCTCATCTGGACCCTTGTACTCCTTGATGATAAAATCTTCATCATCATAATAGTTAGAGGTTCTTCCCTTAGTAGGTTTCACTCTCCTGTGTTTGCCAGATAACACAGCTAGTTCTTTAGTGTCCTTTTGGAAAGATGGAGTTAATTTTACGAAAGGAACTTTTCCAACCCGTGATCCATCAAAACCAAGCATTAGATTAGAGCTTTTTATGTCAGAATGTGTGTATCCTTGGCTATGTAAGTACTCCAAGACATCTAGTATTTGTAATGCAAGTACTAGAACATTTTTGATGTCCAGCACTTTAGTTCTGGCAACGATTTTATGTAAATCGATGTCATAGCGTGGTAGGACAAGGAATCTGTATTTAGTGCCGGTGTTTTCATCTGTGAACGACCCACTGGCTATGTAGACAGGCATACCAATACGTTTTTGCTTGTTTTCTAGTCGCCATGCTTTTACTGTGGACAAAACAAACAACAATTAGTGAACATTTTATAACTGTAGTGACAAAATAATAATTTAATAATAATGTTGACCTTATCTTTAACTCCGACCCTGAATTTTAGGCAGGGAGATTGATAATGTAACAATTTTATAAACATTCATTAAAATTATCAATAAATGACTTGTCACTTACTTTGAGAAGACTGTGCAGTTCTGATGAGGCAGTGTATCTCCACAAAAAGAGGTCCATTACTGTGAGGTTCTATCTTGACTACATATCTTGCACTTAATTTTGTGACCTCCTTTTCAACATCGTCAGAAGCTAAGTAAATACGACCAAAACTGCCTCTACCTGTAATGAGAATTAATAATAATGAATTAAATTACACATAACTAGAGATGAATCACTTCATTGATATTAAACGCGTCATACAAATTTCAGAACGGAAAATACAATTTGAATTATGTAAAAACCATATGACATAAGTTAATTCTATAATAATTGTAATAAATAACAACCAATTTAATGAAAGGGAGCTCCTATGTATTAACCCATTAACGCCCAAATTAAAACTACGATAAATTTTACATAATCAATGTTTATTTACGGCACAAAAATACTTTCTTATGAACAAAAAAAATAAAGAAAAAAAATGTTTTTATAAAAAGTTGGGTTTTTTGGGGTGTACTAAGTTTAGTACAATGGGCGCCTAAGAGTGATATTTAGCAAAGCATCCTCTATCCAGACACAGTGTTTTCAGGCACTTTCCACAAGCGGTTTTGACTCTATTGGAGCACACAGTACATCTAAGTTGGTTTGGTATTTTTTCCGGATTATGGCCATTGTTTGTTCTTTCTTCTCCATCAATCCTAGAGGAAGACGGTCTATTCTTATAGGGCTTTTTATTACTCAGATATGTACGTGCAATATGTCTGCGGAATGCTAGCTGATCCATTCGACTATCTGAGTTTGCAATGCAATGTAGTCTCCATGCATTGGAAATTGCCATATCCACCATATAAGTGAACAAGACCCACCACCACTTTTTTCCTCTCACCCCAATTCTTAGCCAAAGTATTCCCCAGTTATTAGCCAAAGTATTATCTGCAAAATGCAGATTTCTTTTTATTTCCATGAATCTATTTCTTGACATACATTCTGAAACTAATGTTACACCTAGATCATCATCTAAGCTCCAGTACGACCTCTCGCTAGGCAATTTGTGGTAACCGGAAAGTATAAGTATGCCTAGGAATTTTCGAAGTTCCTCTTTACTGAAAGATTTATCGTGCCTATTGTTTTGCCCAGCATATATTGTGCTTTGTGATGTGATAAGTTCTAGCACTTCGTCGTCAAAAAGATATTCAAAGACTTTCACAGGGGTCATGTCTTTTAGGATATCTGAAACTTTAGAACATCGTTCTTCAAGAGCTGCAGATTCTGTAATAGACCGAGAAATGGAATAAACAGGCACACACTTTCTCCAAGTTGGCACTCCATCAACTTTTCTTCTCTTTGGCGCACTTTGCGAAGACGATGATGCCATTGTTGTGAGAGGTTCATCATCGTCGGTGCTCCATTCATCCTCGACAGCACAAGAACGTCTGTGAGTAACCACTTCTACGTTACCTGGAACATCCTGAGGTAATTCGTTATGATATAAGTTATCCTCACCACCTTCCTCTTCATCAGTGACAACGTCTGGATCAGGTGGCAACATAATCTCATCATAAGTAGCATCGTCGTCACTATCCTGGTTGATTATATCGTGTAAAGCTTCTTGTAAACCAAAATAGCTATTTTCTTGTGTGAAAGTATGTCTATAAGCCATTTTATAAATGTATAGTGGTTTCCTATTGTCTCCTGAAAACCCAGAAAAAGGGTAATACGTTATTGAAAATTAAAACAAATGCCACAAGTAAATATAATGAGCAAATGACTGAAAATTCTAATAAAACATGTTCATATTGTAATGTCTTACATTACGTTGTCAAGCGCCCAATGTACTAAAGTTAGTACAGCAGCAGTTTGGGAGTTATATTATCAAAGTCTATAAATGAAATTAACTTTTTGATATTTATTATGTTAGGTTATAATGTTATAAAGTAAAAAAGGACCTTTTCTGACTTTTTGAATAACTTAAACCATGTAAATAAAATAAAGAAGTACTCACCGAAGAACACGAAAAAATCACTGATACAAAATCTCAAATTACCCTCATACAATTTAATAATTACGTTTCGATTTATGTATACACCTACTGCAAGGTCTGCTAGGGACCCTTTCAAATTATTGCCAGAGCAAAAATATTAACTTTGTAAGTTTTATCGTAGTTTAAAGTGGTGTACTATATATAGTACGGCAGGCGCTAATGGGTTAAATTAATTTGATTTTCTATCGAGTCAAATTGAATGTGACTGCTACAGAACCGTTTAAAATACTTATGCGTACTTACAATGTCAATAATCAACAATGATAAATTTTTTTTCTACCAAATACAATATTATCCATAATACATTATGTTGAGACACAAGAGATTTGATTTTGTTAGCACACATCCTATGTTTATATCGGGTACAACTAAAAAGTTGTTTGTCAGGTTTCAAACTAGTTTCATCTTGAGGACTCAATGTTTTTATACATGTGTAGGCCTTGCTATGCTTTCATTACAATAATCTAACCTTGTATTTCCACATTAAATACCTGATTGATGATTTTTTGAGGTATTTGGACTATAGTTTTATGCTATTAGGGTACCTAATTATGTGTTAGTAATGAAATTATGTTGTTTTATTACCATAGAAAAGGAAGACAATTAAATATGATATATTAACAATTTAATAAAGTTCTCTGTGTAAATTTCAAAATGGATTAGTGAAATTTACTGTTAAAGTTAATGTAACTTGTAGCTAAGTGCAGTAGCTAAATATTGTAAATAATCCAATGATTATTTAGTAATATTAGTACTGATGTCATTGCATTATAAGTAGTAAGATAAACCACTTATGATGCACATGTGAACTGTAATTTAACTATGATTGTTAATGTAAATATTCTAAGTAGGTATGTTTGTCGAAAGATAATAGTTAACACCTGCTATTTTTACCGATTGCATCAGCTGACATGAACAATACAGGAACTAGATTGAGTAAATACTTTTTACTGCTATTGTTTTTTATTTTTCTATATTTAACAGTACCATACAGTATTGTATTGATGACACATGCTAATTTTAACAAAAGAAGTGCATGTCTGTTATGCTCAGTGGGTCACCTTGCAGATTTTAATGGTCTTTACTTAGTTCACTTACCAATAGGTTTCCCGATCCTCCATTTCTTCTGCAAGACATCAGTAAACACTATCCCAGGGGGCAAAGCTTCATCATCACAGTAACTCACGTCCAGACTAGGACTCGGAAGTTCTTCCACTATCTTAGTTTTCTTTTTTGGGGGCACAGGCAGCTGCACTAGTTCTGTTCCTCGTCGCGGCATTGCGACTACATCCAGAATTTTGTAATAATACCAGTTCAATGATCTTTTTTGCTGATAACAATTTTAACGGTTGTAGACGAGAACCACCAACTGAAAACACAAACATTGTTATATAAAGTTTCTCCATAATCTAATAAACTATAACGTGCTCAGCAATGTGACAAGAAAATGAAATTATCCGTTAATTTTGTTCCTCTAAGTTCACCTTACCTTCTCATAGCTAATTATGCTAAAATACGACAATACACCAACCACTTCATAAAATTTCTTAATACTTATAAACAATTGCTTTACTGAAATAGTTCACTTGTGAGCATTATATTATTTTCAAAAAGTTATTCAACTAAATTACAGGAAACATAACAACTGATCAAAATTCCGCCATGTTGTTTGTATCAATAGACTAGAGACGTTCAAGATTCAAACGACTTGTTCTAGAAAGAAATTTAGTCGATTTACTATTTGAATATACCGAGTTATTTATTTTAGTTATTTAGAAACAACAATAATTATTTTAAATAGACGTAGTATTTACAAAAAGATTTTTATATTTATATTTGGAGAAAGTCTATTTGTAAACACAAACATAATCTCAGTTATTACTAACTGCTATCATCGTAAGCTATAAATAACTTGCTCAATCTAAAACGGCTATGAATCGAGTGAGCGCAACCATTCAAATAAACAAAAATAAATGTGCTTGACCGTTAAACGTTTATACGATTAACAAAGATGCATAGTTGTAATCGACTAAACTATCGTTGCTCTACTCTACGTTAAGAAATCAATGACCGGTTCTTTCACAATCAAGAAAAAGTAAATATTTTTTTATTATTCATTTTTATCTTTGCACTAAGGTGGGCGCGAAAATGAAAATTAATAATAAAGTACACACAATTAAAATATTATGATCAAATCAAAGTCAAAATAATTTATTTCAATTAGACCAGAAAGGCACATTTGAACGTCTACAAAAAAATTAAAAATAGTGAATCTATTTGCTCATTCCAAGGTGTAGATTCCTATGGAGAAGAACGAGCAAGAAACGACAGTAGATAGACAATATCTCTAACAGTAAATCAGTACAGTAATAAAGTAATATTTTAGACGTAAATTGACGATGTAAAAGTAAAATGCACTGTATTAATCCAAACAAGTATTTGAATTTTTAAAGTTGTAAACAAACAAACCTATTCTACTTTGCAACTGTTATCTCTATACAGTTTCATCATAATGTGCAGGAAACTTCTTACGAAGATTATGCTTATCAGCGGAGCAAGCAAACTAAAGTTTACATATCGGGCTCGAGTCGACAATGGGATGGATATGCGAGAGGGCGAGGGCCGTCTTGAGCCATCTGTGCCTGTGCCTCTGGTTGAGTTGGCCGAAATGCAACGCAACAAACTTTTTCGACGTCTTGTTTCATTCACGAGTCGGTCGTCGAGCGTGAGGGTCGTGCGTTTCGTTGCCCGCCGCCGCGAGAGTATCGAACGCGATGTCTTTTTGTTTATCAACAAATAAAAAATGTAACCAGTTGTGTTTGGTGACATAAAAATAAAACAATTTTGTGTTTTTATTGCTTACACGTTGTATGGATGAGGAAATGTTCAGTTAGCGAGCTTGGATATAGTGTTTGAAGATGGACGGTGCGAACGGCGATTCTGATCACTCTATGACTTGGGAGGACTTTTTCGGTGAGTAAACTTAAAGTTAGAAACTTTATTTATCATTGAAATACAGTTTTGTTTTACTAAAATGCTGCACGTGAAGAAAGAAACAATCCTTGCTTTACTTTTGCTTGTTAAAAAGGAAAAAGTTTTGCAATGTTTGAAACTCCACCACGGTCCACGGTCATGAATTTCCCGAGGCGGGAAAGGACTGGTTTTGCTCAGCATTTCCACTTATGGCGTGTGTGGATTGCGTCCGTTGCTTACCCGGGCCTTCTTGCATCAACTATGCGGCATCAAGTACCTACCTACGTAGTACTACGTGATCAATCATTACCTACATGTAGATAGGTATGTAAGTAAGTACCTAGGCACTTATAGTATTGTGTTCGAAATATTATTCTATCCGTTGATAGTTAGGTACTTTTGTTAGCTAGTTCATTTGCTTCTTACGTAGCTAGCTGCTTATCAAGAAGATCGGTACAATTATATTTAAAACAGAGCGTATTGTTCGTTTTAGTTGTAAAAGGACATAGGTATATGAAAAGATATACACATAGATAGACCATTGGACCTTACAATGTACAGTTAGCGTCAGAAGTCTCATTCTCCTTAAACTCCATACTTCATACGCAATTACGCAGGCAGGTCCTATAGTTTATCTATCTACTAGTTTATGTAGATCACTTAAACCTGTTTTAAATACTTCACATAGAACTACATGTAGAAATCTTCAAATTCGCTACCCACGTTATGTAGGTACCTACACGAAAAATTACCAACATTCTATCACTTAGCTACTTACAGAAACGGTTAGAATTAATCCTTTAAGATTCGTACACGATTATTCTAATCTAATTTTAAATCTGACTGTACGTTAATGATCTGAATTGAAAAATAATGGGTTTTTTCGTCTAATAGCCATAGATTGGACTTTTTTATTTGTATGTTTCGTTCTAAATTGGCCTATTATCGTTAAACGTGATAATAATACGTTTATTGAAAGAAGAAGGAAGATTTTAAACAACTTCACAGTTTACACACACACACACGTAAAAAATATACCTTCCTATTTATTTTAGTTCCTAGAACATTTACATGTGGGTAGTTGAGTAAGTAGTTGATGTAAATTATTATGATACTACCCACCTACTTATTAACTGGTCTAGGTAATCTAGTCTTGATATGATGATTAAAAGAGTATGTAGGTAATTTGAGCACTAGCTTTTAAGCGAATATTTTTTTTTAATTGTTCGTAGCAATATTGGTTTTTTAGGTGACATTTTTTTATACTTATGTACCTGTGCGAAACTACAGGTTTTGGCACTGGATACGACCATGAGTATCGTGTGTATTCAGATTCATATTTTGTTACTTACTTAGATGAATTTATTGATTTCAATCGTTTCAATTTAGTGTTGATTTTGGCTGAATTTGGTAAACTCTGTCAAAAGTGGGAGATTTCCAGAGTAATAAAAAATATCAAATACATTCTTATTTATCTATCCCGAAGGGAAAAACATTTTCACACGACACGATCCAAAAGACGGTAGTGATTGTGATTTAGTTAAGTAGTTATTGTCCATCCTATCAATTACTATAAAAAATATTCTGAAAATCTACAGCTATCACAATTCAAATTAAATTAAGTATCAAAGTAATCACACTGATATTAGCTTAGCAGTTACTACACACCATGCATTTAGTACACAGCATATTATATGCTCTAAGTTTACTTACTATGAATGAAATTCCCGAAACCCACAACAACATCTAAAATAGCACAAACTTGCTAACTGCACGCGAACTAGTAGATATTAGATAGTAACTAGCTTCAGAAGAAGGCCACTGTGAATCGATGACTCACTACTCACGCAAGATGTATCACGGTTCAAGCTACGATGATGTTTTAAAGTAATTATTTAATAACATCAATGTTTTTTTCGTAAGAAACATGCACGTAAGACACTCACTTATCGCCTGCTACATTGTTCAATTATAATTATTGGGCACAACTGAGTGTCTAATACGAGAAGTAGAGAATAGAATCAGAAAAACGATTTTCTGATTTGTTTAAAAGATGATGTGTACGAGAAATGAATGCGCAAAACATAGCGTAAATGAAACCTTCATTGGAAGTTACTTTCCGTAGCACATTTGGAAGTGAGGAAGGCTATCTAAAACATCAACTATTCTGAAACACAAGAATAAAACATCAGGGAAGACTGGAAGAAACATAAATAGTTCATTAGCATATTGAGTAACAACACAAGTAGACAATTAATAGGCGTTTATCTCTCACAAGAATGCTACAGATAAAAAACGTATCAATAGCTTGTAGTACCACTACCTGTTTACTACGGAGACACAAAGAAACACATTTTAAACAGAACGTCTTAATCAACTTCATTGTGTCATTTTATTCACAAGATGGAAGGAATCAGTGCCGCCATTGTACTACTGTATTAATGGAGACGCTTCCTTAGAATGCAGCCGTTACACCGGATGTTCGATTAATTTGAAGTTCGACAGTTGGCGCCTTTAACGCGATGAAGGTTTTATTAAATGCACCGGAGGATTTTAAGTATCCCCAAATTACTTTTATGACCTAATGAGCGCGAGTGCAAGTATTGAAGTCCAGAGCGTTTTTCAGAGAAAGCAGTTTGAGTAGGTACTGGGTTTTCCAGTGGTGAAATTCTTAGTAAATGTCATAACTATTTATTTAGCTTTAAGTCTGGATTCGGCAAAGTTTGACCTTATTTTCCGCTAGACAGGGAATGTAATTGTAATCAAGTAGATAACTAATTACACCTTAAATACGGAACAAATATTTCAGACACATTTCAAGGGTACGCGAATTATTAAAATGTTTACTATTATTAACTCATCTCTCAATCACTGTTGCATATCTTGTCAATATGGCGTCATTTACTATCCTTTCTAGTTTGACCCGCCATTTTGCAAACATTATTGTTTCTCAATCAAAACAATTGCATGTATTTTTTATTCACGACAAGTTCGAAATATCAGTCGATGAACTTAACAATATTCTATTAAATGGTGACAGAGATTGGAGATTGCAATATTGCACGATTGTGTCTGTACCCTATTTATAATAGGTTATGGCAATAGATTATCTAAATCTTAAGATATTATCGTACCACATGAAATCACGCTGATTTTGAACACGAACAATTACGGTTATGTGAAGAGATAGTTATAACTTTTCGATGGTTTTGTATTTTGGTTCTTAATTCAGACACAAATCCCCCAAATATCGCTTAACTCCTACTAGAGTGTGAAAATTAGGGAGATTGGAAAAACCAGTAATTCGTGCTCTTTGCCAATAGCGTTAACAAATCCTTATAAAAGGTTAACATTATAAAAATAAGTAAAACCTAACGCATGTTTGTGTTTGTCACGTTTTCTGGCAAGTGATAATGAGACACGTGTTCAAATTATTGCCTCATTCATACAACTATGAAATCCGAAACACCTGGATCTTATTACGTTTTCTACGTTAAGGTCTTTGAACTCCCCAGTCCCTACTTCTAGTATTTCAAGTATTATTAATGAACAAAAACATGTTAAAACAAAGTCATTTCTTTCTACGCAGCTTCATCTTCTTCGTTGAACGACCGCACAACATTATGACTAGTCCGTTCCGTAGAGAGTGGTAAATTCTTTGATTTTGGGTATTGGCAAAGCTTCCGGTGAAACCGCACGAATACGTTAGCCAGATGGCTACAGATAATTTCACGTTTTACAAACAGAACCTAATCTAAATTTAGCTTCGGCGGTTTGTGTTCGTTAAGACCACCGTACCTACTACCTGCTTATAATTCTGTTGTTTGGATTGCCTAAAGGAGAAATACTAAATACAATCTTTTAATATGATGTATTGTAATTATGTTCACAAGTAAATAAGTCTGCGTTTACCTTCTGTTTGTTTATTTATCATGTAACTGTAAACGTATACGTATAACAACAAAACAATATTACAAACCGCATAATGCTCAATTAAAATACCAGCACCGGTATAAAATGTCAGGCAGACTTAAGGAGTGTCACGTAAAGCGTGTTGATGAATCAATATTCCCGCTAAAATTGAGCTAGTATCAAACGCATTGTCTCTGGTCATTAGTCACTGACTTGTGCAATCTATTGTGCCTGTAACTTAGCTTTTGGTGGCTAAGTATTGCGACAAACACATTACCTATTGAAGCAATTGCGATATCTTTGGGTAAAATTTTAAATAGCACACGACATTCCCTTTTAAGCAAAAAGTACTGGTACTACACATAAATGTGAGTCGATTTGACAAAAAAGAGAAGAAAACAAAGGTATGTAGGAGTGTTCTGAAACATGAAGAACCTGTCAATCTGCATACTCATTACCATAAACAAAAGTTAATGATAAGTTTCCATCTCGGAACACTAAGCGGAAATTGGCGCGCGTTGTTGAGTGCACTTAGTGCATGAATATGAAGGGCCCAAGTCTTTGAAGTCTAGACGAAGTGGAGAGCGTCTGTGTTTCGTATCTTTGCTCTCTATCAAACCTATACAAAATTGTTTAATCAACTGTCTGGAGGTACAGAGCGAACGATCGAATGCGAGATGGAAGTCTAACTCTGTATTGTTTATAAACATTGAATGAGTAACCGGTAGTTAGCTGCGTTTGTTGTAATGTTATGAACTTATTGATATTTTCTTAGGTTACTTACCTTCCTCTTGCAAATTGTTCAGTATAGGTAGGTATATACAAGAAACTAAGTTTGTTATAAATAATTATTATGTATTGCCAACCAGTTATTACCTCATTGCCAGAAATAGCTTTTAGAAGAAGAAAGAAGATTTGTATTCGATTTATATCCAAAAATAAAGTTACTAGACTAGAAAAAAGCTTGTAAGAGTCAGAATGATAGATTTATACCCAACCTCACAACTTGTAAAGGCTAGAGAAACCAGTAGGACTTAAATAAGCAATAAATAATTTCTATGGCGCGAATAACGTTAAAATTAAGCAAA